GAGGTGACAGATACCAGGTGGTCATTGAGTGTCTTTTTACCAAGTGTATTTCTGTAGCTTGGGATCTCAACTGCATACTGCATGGGAAAAGACCAACCATATGATTATAAGAGAACGAAATGATACAGTAATTACAGTGTAGTAGAACAATATTATTAAGGAAAACACCCACATCCTTTGGCAGGAGTCGATAACTTGGGGTACACTGAGTGCACTCAGAAAGATCAAGCTCATTTATAGGTGTTCCCACATACTTGGTAGTCGATTTGTGATTTCCGATATCTTGACTGCCAGATGCTGCACTTTTTTCAGTTCTATCTGCTGTATCTGTTTCAGTATCTTCTCTATTTTCATAATCTCGAAAGTATCCTGGCTGACCTTCTCCAACAGGGGAGTCTGCAAAAATTAACATACTTGAACCTCAGAACCGGATACAAACCACTGACTACTTAAGTCATAAACAAAGAAAAATTTGACCATGGTCACAGTACTCAAGATGAGGGCACGTTTGAGACATATATCACTTGCTAGCTTATATTGAATTCACTAGGTACTAATAGACATTTTCACAATCATAAAGCTGAACTATAGAAGAAATGTAACAGGCCATCCAAATATTCACTTCCAAGAGAATTACCAGCGGAGCAAGCGACAAGATTCTCATCACCATCTTCTCGTTGATCAGAGTGTCCAGAATAATCCTCAAGCTTACGTCGTTGTTTTCTTTTCTGTGGCAAATAAGAGTCTATATAAACAGTTCACTCAAAAACTCACTATATAAATTCTGTATCATAATGCTTAATTCTATCTTGATTTTAATTTATGAGACTCTTAAAACAGTGGAGGAAAGGACGTATGGCCATAATGGAGTTATGCTACCACAAACATCCATTAAACCTTACTAACTGCAATATTTCTATCCTTTACAAAGATGAATAAGAGTAACCTTATCAGAATGCATGGCAGTAATTGCAGTGCCCTTGTGACGCGGCACTGCATTATTTGCCGAGGGAGCTGATTCTGGACAGTTAGGTAAGAAATTAACGAACTCCATGAGCAGATCTTCATGACCCTTGAATAACATAGTAACCTACACAACAGATGATATCAGAGAAGTACACTAAGACAGTGACTCTAACAAATAAAATGTGAAGCAGAAAGTTAGAAGAATTAACACTCTGTGCATTAATAAACAACATACCTCTTCGTAGACCTCAGAGATGGACTTTCTTTCCTTTCTATACATGTTCAAGATGTCTAGAAACCTTTTATACGCATGTTCATCATCTCCGAACCTCGTCTGCAAAAGTAGAAACTCCAGTAAACCTTAACTGATATAAAATCAACATTACAATGGTATGCGATTTACCACATTACATACATACCTTAATCTTGGTGACGAAACCGATAGCGTCTTTGAAATCCACCCGGACCTTAGGCTTCTCTTCCTCGGGCAGAAGGGTTATTCTATAGCCTTTGGGCAAGAAAGTATTAAAACCTAAAAGTAGGTCCTTATAACCCTTGAACAATACTTTAATTCTTTCAATGACACCATCAGTGTCGATTCTGCAACCAACATAAGAGACCATGAGTATACTCAGTTCACAATGAGACATCAACAATACACACATAAGAAAGACAAAATGAAACTAAAGGACAAGAGAAGAGAAGTAAATATACCTTTGAGCTTTAAACTCCTTCATGAGCTCAAGGAAAGACTCATATTTCTCTTTATTGTCTTGAAAAATGTCCTTAACAGCTTTGAGATACGTTAGGGCATCGATGGTTCGAGGTTGCTTGTTTCTGCATTGCACAAACACATAACTTTTTAATACTATTTACACATTTCAATTGCAGTAAACTGCATTCAAGAATCTAACTTGTGACTACCGTACAAAATTAAAATAGAAAAGAACAAACAACAAAAAAAATTGGAGTTATAGAGCGAGAGAGTTACGTTTCTCCTCGAGACGAAACTTCAGGCCTTCGCTTATTAGGTTCAGTGTGAACATCTTCTCTAACTCTCTTCATCTTCGTCTTCCTCTTTCTCCCGCAGACTGATTTCTGAAAAAGAAGAAAAAGAGAGGCTTTAAGCAGCGAAACGAACTAAGAACCTTGAAATAGTCCAAGCCCAGAGAAATAGCTCGTAATCGTTGTCCCCAGTAATAGATCTATCATCGGAAAATCGAAAAAGAAATCACAAAAAACGAGGAAAAAAATCTGAGCAAGAGATCTTGATTTAAAACCTTTGTAGAGCGGATCACGTTACTCAAACGATGAACAGAGCTTCGTGTAAGAAGATGAAACTCTAAAAGAAGTCGGAGGATCGGTGGAAACGTTGGCCGCCGGAGATTTAGACGGAAACTTGGCAAAATGAAAAGTAAAAGAAGCTTCCTTTTGGTAGAAAATTTGAAAATAGATTATTCAAAGGTGAGATTGCTTCTGATTAGGAGCAATCTCTGACGAGGGAAGAGGGTAAGGCAACGGAACGAGAAAAGAAGAAGAAGAAGAAGAGAGGAACTTGTTTATATATACCCAAAGAAAATCTTTGTGTCTGTATAGAATCAGACCTTCGGAGCTAAATGGAAGGTTACGTACGAAATTGCTTTATTTTTCAATTCCAAATCATATTTATCGGTTTAAAATTACGTTAATCACCCCCAAACAAAAAAAAAAAACAAGTCAAAAGCGTTAGGGTTTTTTTTTTCTTTTTTGTATTCAAACTAAATCTGGTTTATAAATGGTTGTGTGTAGGCCTGAGATTTATATCCGTTATCTGCGGATATCCGTATCCGTATTCGGTTTTTGATCCGAAAAAATGGATATCCGGCCACGGATACGGATAGTAAAATGACGGATATCCCGGATACGGATACGGATAATCCTAAAATTTGGGACGGATAACGGATATCCGGCAAAAAAAAAAAAAAATTATAACTTAAAAGCCTTATGATTCAATTTTTCAAGTGTTAAACCCAAAAAACCTTGTAACCCCAACTTTTTAAATTGTTTTTATTTTATTTTCAATGTTAATAAATAAATCATATGACAAAAAATAAAAATAAATTTCTAAGAAGAATTTAAGAAGTTGATTAATGTCTCTTTTTGTAAAAAAAAGCATCACTTGAATCTTTTAAACTTTTGCTACTTTAATAAATTCTTTGTTTTTGTAATGTTTTGTATATATAATCAACTTCTAGCTATTTTATGAAATTTTTAAGCTTTTTATGTATGATATTAATGAATTTACGATTTTAAAACACTATTTCCGGATATTCGCGGATATCCGGATACCGGATATCCGGAATTTACGGATCCAGATACTAAATTGGCGGATAATACGGATACGGATATCTTAAAAAAAACCCGATATCCGCTCCGTTTACAGGCCTAGTTGTATGGTATTATTAGTTTGTAGTAAGTAAAATATAATATCCTATTTTACCTAGAAAGCTCGGTCACATTTTCTTACAAGTGGAAAGATATGTTAGGGAAAAAAGGTTGGGTCTATGAATTTCATTGTTAGATGATAAACTTTAAATTAGGTTGATTGCATTCATATGGAAATTAATTGTTCAAAATGGTTACGTATTTGAAATATTTACTGTCGGAGTTGACATCAATGGGCGTTTGGTCTAGTGGTATGATTCTCGCTTAGGGTGCGAGAGGTCCCGAGTTCAATTCTCGGAACGCCCCCATTTTTTTATTTTGGCAATTTTGTTTTCCCAAGCCTCTCTACCTACCAGTCCGTTGAGTCTCTAGGCCCATTAGTCGACGAACATAACAGCATTAGAGCAAATTTATCAAATCTAAAGCATGATATTAAAAACAAAAATTAGTTGACTAATAATTACCGAATGGAAAGGAGGAAATGATTTGACCCATACACAATTACACTACTCGTTTAGACAAATTCAAATTAGCACAGCTCGGCTCCAGACCTCCACGTGTCACGGTTCACAATCCAAAACCTATCCGGTTTGGCCTCAATTCTCTCTGTTGTTGTTTGCTTTGATAAGTTAACCCAAAAAAAATTAGGAACAAAGTTATAGTATATAAAAAAAACTAACGAATCAAATGTTACCAAGCGTTTTGAACGATTGGTTTAGCGTTTGAAAATGGATGCGTTTGCGGAAGTTTTATGACTGGTAAACCAGCGGATGTGGTAGCAATTAAATAAAACATGACTAAAAAAATAAAAAATATTACAAAAAAAAAGAAATAAAAACACCAATATATTATTATGATAATATTAGAAAAATTGAACATGCTTAATAATTAAAACCATAAATAAAATACTAAATAATTATTCAAAAATAAAGAAATTTTATAATAAGATAATTCTTTATGCTGGGTTAACACCAAAAATTGTATCAAGTAATGGGACAAACTGTAAATAACGTTGAATTCAATCAAAAAGCAAGTAATTTTTTATTCGAGAAAACAAATCGAAACATATATTCAATCAAAAAGAAAAGCAATATATAATGAAAAGAAAAAAATATTCAAATTGATTTTTATCAGTTTGGGTGGAAGACATTGAGAAAATAAGGTTTTAGATTATTGATTAAGGTTTCTGATGAGAACGTGATACAAAGATGAAAGATATATATAAGATTAATATATTTTATAATAACTATAAGTAAACGTTTGATTTTTTTTCTTTTTTTTTTTTAAATCCAACCGCTACCGCCCGCAACCGCAAACGCTTGCGGGAAGGAGATTTTGAAATTCAGTGATTTAGAGCGGTTTGAAGCGATACGGAGCGGTTTCTATGATTGGTACCAACCGCTAACAACCGCAACCAACCGCTAGCAACCGCTAGGAGGGTGCTAGCGGGAGAACCAATCAAGCCCTTAGAAGCAAAGAAAAAAAGCATCATAAGTTTATAACAATTGCGAGACTAGTAAAATTAACACAAAACCGAACTTAAACCGGGTCATAAAACAATTGTACCTTGTCTCTTTGGACACTACTTACTACCAACTTTTAGTTTTCTTTAGTCTTAAAAAACCAAAACAAATAATCCATTTTTTTCTCAGCCAGGTGAGAGAGATACATCGAAGATCAGAGAGCTAGGACTTGATCTCCGATTCGAACATCTTAGCCTGGCTGATACAATCTCCGGTGATTAATCTTCGTTCTCCACCGTACGTCGTAGATAGGATCGGCGGTGGCTTTTCAAGATGCCGTCGAACGGAGATCTGGACCGTCAGATCGAGCAACTGATGGAGTGTAAACCGTTATCAGAGGCGGATGTGAGGACGCTTTGCGATCAAGCGAGAGCGATCCTTGTCGAGGAATATAATGTTCAGCCGGTGAAGTGTCCTGTTACCGTTTGCGGCGATATTCACGGCCAGTTTTATGACCTTATTGAGCTCTTTCGAATCGGTGGCAACGCTCCTGATACTAACTACCTCTTCATGGGAGACTATGTAGGTCTGTCTTTCTTCTTCTTTCGATTTCTCTTTCATTTTTTTTTGGTGTGTTTTCACTTTTTTAGATCTGTGTTTTTGGATGATTTCGAAATGGTGAACCCTTGGAAAAGTATCCACCTTTTTTATATATCTAAAGTGAGTTACTTGTGAGTTCTGTTTTGTTTTTGGAATGAACAACTTATTTTCAATTTATGCTTTTTTTGAATGGTAGGTACTGAAAGTTCCCAATTTAGAGACTTGTTGATGCTCACTTTCATAATTGCACTTCCTTGAATTCTAGTCTTTAGATCCTTGGAACTTTTAACCATCCAGTGTTGTAATATATGATGGTGACAGCTAGTTTTAGTTTAAAAGGAATGTTTTATGGTTTCTCATTGTCTTGCTTTGTTCTTTGCAGACCGTGGATACTATTCAGTAGAGACAGTTTCTCTATTGGTGGCACTGAAAGTGCGATACAGGGATAGAATTACAATCTTACGAGGGAATCACGAGAGTCGTCAGATTACTCAAGTGTAAGCTTTGTTTCGTAGTAAGCTTATATCTGAGCGAGCATACTTTTCTTCATTGGTTTCTGACTAATCAACAAAGTACTATCCTGTTTGATGCGTGTTTTGCTTCTCTGTTTCAGCTATGGTTTTTATGACGAATGCTTGAGGAAGTACGGAAATGCAAATGTCTGGAAGTATTTTACAGATCTTTTCGATTATCTTCCTCTTACCGCCCTCATAGAGAGTCAGGTTTGAGCTGTTCTTTTCAGTTGGGACATCTTTTTCTTAAGTACTGCTTTTGACTTCCATCAAATATTATCCGTTACAGGTTTTCTGTTTGCATGGAGGGCTTTCACCTTCTCTGGATACTCTTGATAATATCCGAAGCTTGGATCGGATACAGGAGGTAACCTTCTTGTTCTCTGCTAAAGGCCTTAGTTTGGAATATATTGGAAGAGTTAGGAGTTCTTTCTGGGTCTCAGCATCTTCTCTATACTAAAGATACAAAGAACAAAAACGATTGAAATTTTCTATATGCATCTTACTGGTCATCTCTTTGAACTATGTATTGTGTGATCTGTAGGTTCCACACGAAGGACCTATGTGTGATTTATTATGGTCTGATCCCGATGATCGATGTGGATGGGGAATATCTCCACGAGGTGCTGGTTATACATTTGGACAGGATATCGCAGCTCAATTTAATCACAACAATGGACTCAGTCTCATTTCAAGAGCGCATCAACTAGTCATGGAAGGTTTTAACTGGTGTCAGGTATGTACATTCATGGGGTCATCTCTCTGCTTAAGGTTCTACGGCATCATTGGTCTGTCTCTTGCAGATTGAATCGTTGATCTCTCTCCTTTAAATGGTAACAGGATAAGAATGTGGTGACTGTGTTTAGTGCACCAAACTATTGCTACCGATGTGGAAACATGGCAGCGATTCTAGAGATAGGAGAGAACATGGAGCAAAACTTCCTCCAGTTCGATCCAGCTCCTCGACAAGTTGAACCTGATACTACCCGTAAGACCCCTGATTATTTTTTGTGATTTCTCTGTTTTTTCTGGTCCCGACCATATATAATTTTTTGAAGTTCCAGTTTTATTGCTTATGTATCATTGTAGATGTGCCCTTTTCTTTTCTTTTTTCTTAGTGGAGTTCGAATTTCCCCTAGAAAAAAAGAAACACATCATTTTTTGTTGTTGTTGAGATGATTGCTATAAAAAAGTTTGTAGGAGAGGCTTCTATATCTATAAAATAGAGCGACTGTCTTTTCATTTGTGCCTACATACCTCAGAACGAAGGCTTTGAAAGCTAAAAGCATTACAAACAAAAACGCCTAAGCTAAGATTTCTACATATTTCCAATACAAACTAAAGGCCTAACAAAACTTCCATTATGGTGTGGAAAAGTGACCGCCTAATTATACAACACAACTCATATACCCATTTTCTTCTTCTCGTTTCAATTCTTCTTTGGTGCTTTGGGCCGTGACCTCATGCTAGCTCTCCTAGCCACATCCCACACTTTCTGTGGAGCGTAAAACCCCAATTGAGATGCAAAGAACGACTCATAGCCAGGTGAGTCAAAGGCAAAACCAGTGTGCTTTGAGATTTCCCGAGGCAATTGGGATATCGCATAGCTTCTCGCTTCTTCTGGTGTGAGCTCATTCGCTATCTCCAGTTGATCTGCATTGCTACTATCCGCCTCATGCCTGTGAATCTCTTGAACTATTTGATAATCATATGGGAGGAACCATCTCTCCACCCTGCATTCATTCACAAAAATTTCCAATTTTTTCATGATCAAAAACAATTCAGCAAATCTTTCACGATATAAGCATGTTGTTTGAGTTTGGAGTGTTGAAGTTTTACTTACCCTTGGTAGATGAAATCTGCCAGAAGAGCACCAACCGGAACAAGCAGCAATGTGAAGTAGAAATAAAATGTACTCATTAGGACATAAGTAGAAATTCTCCTGCATACACACAGAAAGCAAAAAAGAGAAGAAGTTAAAACGAGCCATGCTAAAATGCTTCCACCAACTGTGATATGATGCCATCTGGTAATCGAGTTGCTCATCAAAAGAATCCGCAGGTTCACGGCTATGACTAGACAGGTAAAGACCATTGTGCTCACGTCCCAAAGACCAAATGTTTTGCCTGATGAATTTTTGCCATCAAATGCTGCTGAGACGGTTACGAAGAGATAGCATACCAAAGATTGATACACAGCAGAAGAAGCCCATACTGCCACAACTCTCCATTTGAAAAAGGAATTACGAATTTCCTCTCTATACAGTTCAGGGTATCTCTTTGAAAGGGATGCACTCACATCCTAGCAAATGCACAAGTCAGTATCAAATTATCGATCCAAGAAAAAAAATGCACACATGATGATTCTCCTGAAAATCTAGTTCATCATAACCAGGCCTGGTTATTTTCGGAGCCCAATACAATACAAAAATTAAGGCCTTTTTAAAAAAAAAAAAAAAAAAAAACTGTTTACTTTTTTTCTATTTCTGGCTAATTGTGGAGCCTTAAATTTTTATTTACATCCAGAATGATACACATTGTTATTTTTTATTTTTATTTTAATAAAATTGGGCATAAATCATTTCATTTATGTCTAAGACACACTTAACATGAGGCCTTCAATTTTTTTTACTTTTGATTTTTTCCACAAAATGGGCCTAAATCATTTCATTTAAAATGAGACCTTTAAAAAAAATTCTATTAAATTTTTTCCATATAATGGGTCTCGAGAATTAGAGGTCCAATACTTATGTTTCATGGGTATCTATCAAGACCGGACCTTATCATAATTGTAAATTGATTTAGTTACCGACCCATAATGCATAGCTTACATATACAAACCATAACGTTAACTGTTGAGAACAAAATTCAAGAATTGCAACCGATATTTCCAACTTCATAGTAAAAACTTGACCAAAATATCAAAAAGTAAAAGACACTAAAAAAGAATACTTGGAAACAAAGCAAGGCACCATCATAATGGAGGGTTCCTTAAAAATTCGATATCCATAAATCATGCATTTCTTTCAAGCTGCACAGCCTCGTTGTCGTTGCCCGTAGTGATGTGATATATAGCTTTTTTTAGTGTTCCAGACTTGTTTGCTCTTTCTGATGTCGACAAGGATTTGGTTGTGGTCAGCATTTCCTTAGAACCTTTTGCAGTTGTGCCCAGAACTTCTCGAGATGCTGCCCATCTAATTTTTTCTCATCTTCTTCCGAAATGTGGCGACATTCAAGAAAACGAGACAAGTCTGACTCCATCATCTAAGACTAAATAAAAGACAACATTACTTACAACATCATGTATATGCAATGTTATTCACTTGATGAATGATCAAAGAAGTCCTCCCTACATACGAGATCATAAATTCCATTTAATAGATTCATTATTCATACAAGTAAGACTAAAAACTTTTGAGTTTTGAAAGTTAGAGGGAAGAGGCATGATTACATGAGATCAACAAGGCACTGGGTATCTAATCAAGTGAATAATATTTGAATTTGGTACGACTCATGTACATTTTTTTGTATGAATGTAAAATTTTATTTCACCATAAAACCCAAATTCTTGAAAAAGTGAAGAATACTCATGCGCATAAACATACTACTAATCAGATGCTCAATAATTTAGTAAACCATATACATAATGACATAAACATACACTACTAATCAGATGCTCAATAATTTACTAATTCCTTGATGAAGTTCTTCTCATGCACTACCAACCTTTTAGAGCATACGATTAGTAATCTATTTATTTTTAATATAGTTTAGTTATATATTTAATTTTTAATTTTAAACTAAGAAATAAACCAATTAGGAAGAGAAAAATATAAAGAAGAGTTCTAGTTAGAATACCATTTTTTTTTTATACGACTTGATGGTTTGTACTTTGTACATAGTTCCCTATGTTTTAGTAGAAGCCTCCTTGGCTCATTGGTTGACCAAGAGTTGATTAATGCTTCTACGCCAAGAAGTCTGGGGTTCGAGTCCCAGATATTGCGATTTATTAACAAATTTGCAGATTAATGGAGGCAAGTGTGCAAGAGATCTCCAGCGATGTACAATTATAGCCGTTCGCCAGGATTCTACACAGAGAAGAAAGTGTCGCCAGGTCGTGGATCATTGAAGGTATTCATCAAGATCACGAAGAAAGAAGTGTAGTCTGTCGTGGATCTAGTAAAGGTCGGAAAAAATTGTCAGTTGTAGAATCGTCTATGTAACAGTTCTCATAATTTGCAATTAATAATAAATTTAGACGACAAAAAAAAAAAAAAAGTTGTATTAGAATCCTTACAAAATTAAACTGAATCTTGTGATTATGTTTTATTTGTTTGTTATTTTATCAAATTTAACTATAAATAAAGTAAATGTCAGTTTTAAAAATGATATTCTCAGATTCTAAAACGGGATTAATTTTGAACCAAAATATATATGAAGACATGTAATGTGAAATATAGACAATATATCTGATTAGTGATTACAGTTCTGTTTTAGAAAAAATGTCATTTGGGCTGAATTTTTATTAGGCCCAATCCATCAACGATTGGCTAATGAATATATGACTTTTTATGAGGCCCATATAGAATCTATAACTTCTCTAAACTATCATTAGTTTGACAATTCCGACGACCTAATTTCCCTCTAGTTGACATTGTTTTCTCGGGAAAAAAAAAACAAAGAAGAGATTTTCTGGCGGTCGAAATACAAATTCAGAGGAAGAAACAAAAAATGAAAAAATGGAGGTGCTCAAGTTGTCAAAATTCAAATTACAACTTCAGTCAATGAACGGAGAAGTACGAGATCTGCGTGTAAGAAGAATGAGGTTTTATTTTACATACATCTATGGATTGTGTATCTTCTTCGCTCCACCATTTTCTCTCTTCTTCTTCTTCTTCAACTACAAAATCCTGAATGCTAGCCAGTACAACAAAGTTTGCAAAGCTAGTTTATCATCAAACGAGCTGAATAGAAGCTTACCTTTGTCTCATGACCAGTAAAAATCGCAGCCCCAACAATGTATTCAGTGTTCATGCAATTGCAGACCCCAAACATATAAGGAGACAAAAGGCAGAAAAGGAACGCAAAGCTAAAAGCAAAATAAAGCAGTTGATCATACAAGCAATAAAAGCTGGTCTGGAGAGAGAGGTAAAGTCTGCATTTCTATTATAAGATTCCCCGTGAAAGTGTACAGAGAATTATTTGGTTGCTCACACTGAATTTGCCTGCACAGTAAAAGAGAGAAATATTGGAGAAAGTTGATGAGTACTGCTCAACATTTAACAGCGCTGATATACTAACAAGAATAAAATGGACACGTCAGGTCAAAGAGAATTGCTTGTAGATGTATTATGAAAGACACTAGCAAAGGCACAGATTGAGCCAAAGATAATAATCGACTCCAAAGGCTAACCTTCAAATTCTGAAGCTTTCTTAGATGTCAAGTAATCCCATGTCCTTTCAAGGGCCTTTCTGATTTTTAAATTTGTTTCCCCATCTAGATCTAGGTCGGCAGTCTGCACGCACAACAACACTAGAGTAAAATTGTATATTCAGTACTGCTAATTCCTAAATAGCTGCTTTGGTGCTAAAGAGAGAAAAATCAATTAATGTAGCCAAGCACCTCTACGTAGCAGATACCATCAGAATTTGTGCTGGACAGGAAAAGAAGATCAGCTGGAAAAAATAAGCCATCTCTTTTAATCTGCAAATGTCAACAAAGAATATTTACCAAGCTTATAGATTTGGAGTTTAAAGATAAATAACGAGTTCTGGATTCATCCACAAACGCAGCAGAGGCATGAAAGCCTACCAATTCAGAAGGCCAGCATGATGAGAACGAGCATAATGACACACAAATTAAATTAAGGTAATTGAAATCTACTGCGATAACTAAAATTAGAGCATTTTCAAACTAAACATGTGTACCAACATCCAACAATGTCTTTGAGTTTTCAGCACATCCTTGTTTAATCACACTTGTGTCAGAAAAGTATACATTGATAAATTATAGTAATCACAAGATTCAGTTTAATTTTGTAAGGATTCTAATACAACTATGACTTACTTGTTCAAACATTATACTTTGTTGTAGAAATTGAATTACCCTGCAACAAAGAGGATCAACAACGGATGATTCAGAACAACACATTGAAAATGCGCATTTCTGTAGAAGAACATTATGGTTGCGGAAATGAGGACCAAAAGTACCTTGAAACGGACGGCGTAATTAGCATCTCACGATCATTGCAGTAGACGGTACGGCAAGTCGGAGCATGAGGCTGTATACGGCCCAGCGTCACCGATTAACCGAGCTTGCGATCTGTGCCGCCGTGGAACACACCGGACCCATTTTTTTTATGAGGTGGTTATTTATTTACTATTATCTCACTTCTCGACAATATATAATCAATCGCAATAAAGCCCATTTTGTATTAGGCATAGGCCCATATACTATCGCAAAGTCAACTTCTTCTTTTTCTTCGGCAAAGTCAATTGTTATAAGAGACATCCATTTATTCTCTTTTTTTTTTTCTTTTTTTTTTTTAAATCTGGCTTTTATTTACATATAATTCACCAACTAGTAAAGGTTTTACACAGAGAGTCTATATTAGAAGCTTGTTTCATTAACATTTAGGTGCTTCTTTAGCGTGATTATTTTCAACTTTTATGCAAGACATTTATTTTTTTATAAAAATCATATTTTATAGTATATATTTTTATTGGTTAAACTTACATCATTTGATTCAATGATATTTTTACGTAAAAAAGAAGAAGAAATTAAACGGAAATTATGTATTTCTAAATAGTGTATAGAATCTTTAACATGTAATCTAGTTAAGAAATACTTAATAAGTAATCTAGTTGAACTATTGACATTTGGTACGACTTATGTACATTACCAAACACTTACTTGACCAATTTTCTTAAATCGTCAATACAATTTTAAATTTTTAATGAAATATAATGTGAGTATAGAGAAACAAGAATAACGTGTTTACTAAGAAATATTACAACATCAAAAAAGTACTAGTTTTACATACTATTGGATATTTTCTCAAGAAATAGACAAACGCTACATTCATTTTTCAAATACTCGACACTTATTCTCATATTGATTCATCATCTATTCCGTCTTGGTGAGGTGGATGCGACTAACTTGGACCAAAGAAAAGGAAAGTACCTTGCACCGGACTGCTGAAAGAGCTCACAAACAAGCTGTGGAGGCTACAACAGTAGAATATGTAGCCTCACTTGGGTACTATATCGCAGCATAGACAGAATTCAATACTACCATAGAGAATGGTAGTTTGCTTCCAGAATCTGTGAGAGTTGAAGTCTACCGACGGCTTGGCCATGCGTATCTTTGGCTTGCTATTCACTTGTCTGAAGAAAACACAACCGCTCTTGCACCTCATATATTAATGAGGGGCATTAGTGATGATTCTTCTCCTTGTCTATCAGCCATTAATGCTTTAAGAGGGGATTAGCTTCGTAGGAATCTGTTGGGGAAGTCGGTAAAAACGAAGTCGCATACGCTTAATATAGGTTAGCGTAGCATCACAAGAACTGCTGCTCAAGGTTTTTAGAAAGTAATGTCATCGAGAAAGCCAATGATGGGGCTTAAAAAAAATCCTACAAAATGAGCCTCAAATTTTTGAGGCCCAATACAAATGTATCACAAAAATGTGTCAAGGGCTAGGCCTGTGCAGATGAAGTGCGAAAACACTTGGGAAAGTAAACGGAACCCAAGTAGAAGTATTCGGCAATTGTCTTATTGTGTAGAACATTGGGATCGTTTGGCTTCTTCCGATCGAGCTCAACTAAAATGTCGAAACACTCTTCGAATTCGTAAGATTGAAACAGGAAAGAGCTTTCTTAGCGAGTGTAGATATTACAGCCACGTCTTCTAAGTGGTTCTATATTCTTCTGCTCGAAAAGTGCTTTCACCATGACAAATAACATGAAAGTAGAAGCGGCTTGGATTATGTCAGCCATGAATATATTAAAAGACCTTGGTTATGATAGGCGGATCTGTGTAGTTGAAGAAATTAGTTTCATTAATTTAGCAGATTTATAAGGTCTAATGATAAATTGAAGTAACTTGCCCATCCTAAACTCATGATCAAATTTCACGTTGTCCTAAATTTTAGCAAGTATTGTTTATCTTTCTAAATTCTATACGTAGCATTTCCAAAATTAATATTACTTTTATTTTGCTTTGATTGATTTTTTTTTTTTGATTTAGCTCTATCTTAAATGTCTTTTTGATGTAGCATTTTTTTTTGTTTATTTTCAAAACAATGATTGTATTTTGTTTTTAGTGTTATTCAAAAAGTTATACATATTCTATAACTAATATATTTTCCCATACTTAATGCATTTTTCAAAAATATGGAATATTACTGTTTATACACCATTTTAATAATGTAATAGCTGAAAATAAAATTTTAGTTAGCTATTATGAAGTTTAGATAAATATTATTATCCTTTAACTATATAGATATTTAGAAATAAAAAATTTTATTGCTCTCGGTAAAAATATTTTAAAAATCCGCCCCTGGTTAGTTAAGATAAAGTTGGATTTGTGTTCTCCATTGGGCTAATGAATATATGACTTTTTGTTGGGCCCATATAGAATAATGTAAATTAACCTGACCTGTTTTGGTTTGTCGTTAACCTGGGCTTTTAACTATTCTAAACTATTTATTTGACAATTCCGACGACCTAATTTTGCTCTAGTTGAGATTCTTTTTTCTCGGGAAAAATATCAGAGAAGAGATTTTCTGGCGGTCGAAATTCAAATTCGGAGGAAGAAACCAAAAATGGAGCTGCTCAAGTTGTCAAAATTCAAATTGCAGCTTCAGTCAATGATCGGAGAAGTGCGAGATCTGCGTGTAAGAAGAATGAGGTTTCTATACATCTATGGATTGTGTATCTTCTTCGCTCCACCAGTTTCTCTCTTCGTCTCCTTCCACTTTACTACCGGCGTTTTTGCAGGAAAGGGAGCGATCAGTCACAGATCACATTAATCTTGCGAATCAGGTTCTTCAATCAATGTTACTTTTCATGGCTCTTGTTTCTGTTTCGTTTCTGATTCGTGAATCGTGAATTCGTGATCATGTGGTTTGGTGCTTTCGGTACAGAAACAGAAGCAGACGGAGGAGGAATACATGAGGAAAGTGCATGAGCTTCAAGCTGAGTTAGCTTCTTCTAGAGAAACACAGGAGGCACTCGAGAGGAAGGTTTGGAAGATTCTTATTCTTCTGCGAATCTATTACACATGGAGTTTGTGAAAGTTTTTAATTGATTTTGCAGGTGAGTTATCTTCAGAACGACTATAGTTTGCTGGAAAACAAGCAGAGTGAATTGAAGACAACTATCCAAAATCTGCTTCAATCACGAGAAAGTTTCTTAACTGCTTACCAGGTGCTTGTCTCATCCTGTCAAAGTTTTATGCTATATCTAGGGGATAGAAATACCTTAGAGAATCATCTTCATGATGGGTGACCAGTCGATTTTCAGTTAGTGAAGTGGTGGTGTGTTTGCAGGAGTCGTTTTGTGAAATGAACTGTTCAATTGAAGCCAGGGATAGGAAGATTGCCATCCTACATGAGAAGATAACCTCTCATTTAGCATTGTTTGATTCGATTGAGAAAGAGGCATCGGTAATTAAGAAGGTCATACACCAAGTTCAGGACCTTGTGGATCAAAAAGAAGATGTAGGCATGTAGATCCCTCATCTCTTGCTAATTCTGCTTGAAGATATGCTTCTAATGCTTTCACGGCTTCCCCCTCTTGACACAATGATTATGCTTCTGTTGTTTCTTGTATCCAGTGGCTGGCTTGAAAGAGAAAATGGACCATGTCTCTACATATGAAAAAGTGTTTATAGGTGAGTTTCTTTTCATTGAATCTGCCGGTGATGCTAACCTGATTGTTGATAGGTTACTTAATGGTTTTTCCTACGTTAATTGTTCATGTACTCTCGTGGCCTTTTCCTTTGGCTCGAATTCTTTATGAAGACAATAATGTCTATCTTCTTCACTTATGCAGAGAACATCAGAGCTTTAGAAGAGAAACTTGAATATCATGAAACAGAATTGCAGAGCAAGGAGAATATAATATCAGAGCTTTCGGCTCAGCTGGAATCAGAAAAGATTAAAAATGAACATCAACATCAAGTCGAAGAGATATCCTTATCAGAACTTGCATGTTTTACTGCATTTTCAAAGAAACTAGTGGGGGATCATTTCTCACGTGTATGTTTACTTGACCAGCCTTACCTTCAGAAAACTTTGCAGGTCAAAGATTTAGCTGTAGAGAACTTAATTTCTGAAAAAGAGGTAATTAGTTATCTACTGAATTTGATCGTTTTTTCTTCCTCAACAGTTTCTATAACTAGTTTCTCAAATGTTTAGGCATTGTATTCTGAAGTGAAGGGTTTAGAGATGATTTTACAGCGGATTCAGGAGTCTGTATCCCTTATGACTGAAGAGGTAACAAAGAATTGAGGTTTTCTATCATTCTAACATTTAAATTCAAATGATCAAATTATTTTTTCAAATCATCTTTCATTCTCTTGATTTTACAGGATAGAAAGGTGTTTACATCAATACTGACATTCGAACAAGGTTCCAATGAGAAAAACAAAAGATCCAGGTTTGTAAAATCACTTACATCTTTTTTGTCTCTGATACAGATCGAAGGGGAAATAGATTGCATACCAATTGTCTTAATATGATATACTCTTTAAGGCTGTACTCTGGAATGAACTAGGTCGCTTTTCTGTCTCAGTGTGAGTATCAATATTCCCAAATCAATACTTATTCCTCTTTGATTGGCTAACTAGGCACAATGACACAGTTGACAAAATGGAGGAACTTCTATGTGAAGCTCCTGTTATGCATTCTCAAGAAAACTCAGGTCTGCTCTCTTCTTTTGTTATGTTGTTATTTCCTTCGCTTAGAACCAAATAATCACCAGAAACAACATAAAACCACAACATCTTCAGTGTATAAATCTATGTATTTAATTTGGAAACAAGGATTTTCTTCTAATAGAATGCCAAGTGAAGGTTTTTAACTGACCTGCTATGTAGAAGAGAGATACGTTGATCAGTTACAACTTCACACAAACCAGATTCTCAGTTACTTCTTATTGCAGTAAAAGTTATTCCATCAGCGTCTCCAAGGTGTCAGCACCAAAACACAGACTGCAGAATGATACAAGATGATGATCATCAACTGGATTCGGCTGAGTACCTGCTGCATAACACTGTCAGTGGCCATTGGCAGAGTACTAATAACCACAACCACTTTGAGATTGAGGCAAGTGAACTTGTTTTTCTCCGTGTTTCTTTCTTACAATTGCTGATATAAGTGCAGTAGTGAACAAAAGTAATTGAATAATTATCTCCATGTTCAATGAATTATTAGCTACTGTACAGACTACAGTAGCACGAGTCATCAGCCACTGTACTATGCATTTCCGCAAACAATCTTAGCTTTTTGAAATACCTTTTGACTCAGATTCCTCCTATAAAAACTCTCATATCATAGCTTATTCATTGGTTCAGAGACGATTTAATTCCAAACTTTAAACCCATAAGTGAATAAAATCGTCAGTCTTTTGCAGGACAAGTACAAAGAGTTGATGAACCAGCCAGATTCAGAGTGCTCAACGAATCGCGTTTAAGAGTTAAGTGTCTCATCATGATTTGTGATTGTTATCACTTAAACTCTTATGTTGGTTTTTTGACCTCATAAACTGCAGTATTTGCAGGAGTTGAAGAACCGACGACATTGGTACAGTAAATATCACAGGTAATGCCTATGGGGCTTTTAAGTTTGTTGTTTATGTTCATAATTGTGTTTGCCTCAACTCTCAAATAGTATAACTGGATCGTTCTAATGACCAATTCACGTTCCATTAAAATAGTGTCGGATAATTTCTTGGTTGGTTCGAACCCAATCTATGTTAAAACCTTTTTATGTTTTTCACATTTTCAGTTTTTTTTATACTATAATTTTAGTATTTTACTAAGTGCAAACAAAATGATAGCAAGATATTCCTCTTGTTTGCTTTTATCGTGTATGCTTATATCATAGCAAAAATACTTAAAAAGTTGTAATTAAAAAAAAAGATAGACAATAGATATAAACATAAACAAACAATCAAAGCCTAAATACATGTATTTTAAGAATTTTACAACGACTCGTAGATGTTTATTACACGTCAAATTTTTGGCCAAGATATTTATTTATAAGAGATTAGATCAGTGGACTATATAGCTCTCCTTTCTCTATTAGCCGTGGAAATTAATGACCACATATGTGATATAATATAGGGATATCAATTATTAAGCTTGAAGAAAGTTCGTTTGGTGGGGACTCGGTCATATAAACGACGAGAACATGAGTTTTCTACATTTGCACGCAATGAAATTAGACGTGGACAAATTAAAAGGTAATTTTCTTTACATTTTCATAGAGATTGAAAATAGATTATATCTCTCAAAACTAGTAACTTTTATCAGTATTGCTTGTATCAAAATCCAAGTTTACATGAGGAAGTAGGTTTGTATGAATGAAGATGACAAAAAGAAATGGAGTAAATATCTACGAGAAATAACTGCTACAATGACTACGTCTACCTTCCAAGTGGAAATGAACTTAAAACAGTGAAAATTAATAAAAAAGAATGAATATACAGAAGTGAAAAAAATGAATATTGCTTAATCAATTTTTTGTATTCTAAAGGTATTTGTCAAATGCCATCAGTCTTACTACTTGAGCTTGCTCTCATTCTCTACAATATATAAAATTAAAGTTTGATCCTTTGAGATATATGCCAACAAAAAAAAAAAGGGAAATAATGAAATCGCTTTACTTTCTTTTGTTAATTCATGTGAAACTAGGGAAATATCCAATTCATTTGAATTATGGATTGTTTTTTGAACAAAAATTGATTCAATTGTTTGGTGGGAATTTGACAACAGATACTACAATTTATCTTGGTAAATTAACTCGTCCGTAGTTAATTGGCCTTAATATGAAGGGAACAAATTTTGATTACTTTGGTGGTGAATACGACAAGTGCAACAGAGGAGTAGCCACTTATAAGTCTTGAATTACGTTTCATCTATGTATTAATCTTACTCATTTATTGGGTTGTCTAAGAAACAAAAACAACAAAGGTTATTGGGAGTATCAAAGATGGCACAGATGGTCCACCATTCGATTTCTTAGTTGGATCCAACTGTCTTACATTTATCAGTTTATGAATGTGCATGTAAACAAATCAAATGCTGACAGAAAACGAAAAAAGTAAGAGAAAAAAAAACTGGTACGGACTTACGTAGAGAGAGTTGCTTAAAAAAGGCCATCAATTAAATAATTAAAAAGGAAACGTGTTTTTAATTATACCTTTTTGTAATGTGTGTATGATATGATTATGACCCATTAAATGTAAGTTTGGTAATCTAGACAGGTTTGAGAACTTAATCACTAGATTTAACATCTTTGATGGAAACTTTCCATGTTTAAGCGATAAAGATTATCAGCCGAGGACCTTTAAGAAGAGTTCACTTAATTGGTTACACCTTTTTCCACTTCTACATTAATTATGATGGTTTTTTCTTTTCTTTTATTATTTTATGAATTTTAACTAGAATTATACTGTACTAGATAGTAGATATTAATTTACTCACCAAAAAAAAAAAAAAGATAATAGATATTAATTTTTAAAAATTATATTCAGATTCTAAACGGGATTTATTTTTAACCAAAAAAATATGAAAATGACATTTATTGTAAAATTGAGAACATATATATGATTATTTTGAATCTGTTTTTAGAAAAAAAAAAAAAAAAGCCATTCTTGATTTCCCCGAATTAGTAGGCACGAGGCAATTGTTTTAGACTTTTAGCATCATAATAGTAAGTTATAGTAAATCCCAAGAAAGCAATAGAGACTTCAAAATAATCATTAAGGCAAATGATATTTTATGATATTTCATTAAGTAAAAAGTATCCCATGAGTGAAGTTGGTGGTTTTGTCGGGAAATTTGTTAAATTTCCACTCCTTTCATTTGGTGCTTTATGTCTTTTCTTCCAAATTAGTTAACCCATTTCCTTTCTTTATCTAGTTTCACTGCTTTAATTATCTCCAACTAAACTTAGTCGTACAATCACTACGTTCATACGTTTTGAAATTTGGAGCCATTCATTCCGGTTAAACCGCACTAGACTGCTGTAAGAAGGACGAAGCTAGAGTGTTTGAATGTAAATAGAACGTTTTAAAGTATATAGCGACAAACAAACAATTCACAACGTTGTCTTTTACTTTTAACTTTGTTGAAAACATTATACCGATGGTCGATCATTTGCTACATCTATACCTCGATGCCAATCGTCTTGCATGAAAACAAAATACTACCCTAAACTCATACTGAAATTCCTCAATATATAGAAGTAGTTGAAGCTTCAATTATTTGGAAAAACAAATATTTATAGTTGAAGTTTTCTGTACTTTTTGGAAATATATGAAGCTAAAATTTCAGTAATTTAAAATTTAAAGATATTCTGGTACATAGATTAGATACCTCGGGTGGAATATGATGAATGCAACTTTATGCGTATATAATGTGTTAGCACAAATTGGTGGGCCAATTATAATATTATGTCATGTATATATACATACTTGTCACATTTTACAATCCCTAAGCAAGAGGAAGCTTTTCACAATGGCCTCTTGTCTCTATAATGCTTGAGACTGACACGTTGTCGGTTCGCATCATTATTTGCTCGTGACCTTCTTTTTATATATATAGCCCATATAAAAATTTGGTATATATAGACTGGGATTTCATTGTTTGAGATCAAATGTGTAACGTCAATTATAAAACACAAGTATCTTTGCTATTTCAAAAATATTTCTAACGTACTCAAACTAATCACGAGAATAGAAAAATAGAAACAAGAAAAGAAATATAATTGTGATAAAGGATTGATGTATATTTTTGTTGTTTCTATGTAAAAATAATCTTAAAGGACTGTGGAAATCTACGAGGCGTGTGTGGAACATGAAAGCGTCAGTTCTGTACAAATCGAAACACTTCAATGACAACGAGATTCTGCCAACAAACAAACAACCGCACGTGTGATGTTTGTTCATCATATGTTCATTACCACTCTTTTGTTTTTATTATCACAGCACAATAATCCAATTAGTGTAGCGAATTATATATTGTTGAAAAAAGCAAAGATATTTGATAAAAAGGTAAATGAATATGTTTATGTCGACAAAGAAAAAACGAATATGTTACTTTCATTTTTTAACATTGACATACCGTGTTTTGTAGATTGCTTACCATTTGTATGGTTGTTATAAAAATGAAGAAATATATGGTGGAAAATCTGCAAAATTTAACAAAATTATATTTCGAATTAATTATTTTGCCATGTTGTTATTCAATAGTATTCAACACACATCGGAGAAAACATGGAAAAAAGTGAGATGTAGATGGAGTGAGCTAGGGTCCATGAAGATGAGATTGTAACTTGTAAGATTGTCAGAGTCAAATGAAATAAGTTGGACCAACCCTCTTTTTAATTTCTTTTGTAAATTTCCTGCCAAATTACCCATAAATTCAAACTTCCATATACAATGTTTTTCTATATATTATGTCTATAAATCTTTATAATATACAATTCAGACATAATGTTACGAATTATTAGGAATTGAATAGATGAGTTTGGTCGTCTAGAAACAGCGCAATGCGCCATGCCATAGGCGTCGACCAAATCGCTTAGCAGCTCCACCCTTCAAAATTTGCCACGTAAATAGCTCAGACATGAGTCACATGACATGAGTCAAAATTTTCTTCTCTTGCATGGCTGAACTTTTTTTTTTTTGCTAAGTTAAGATTGGTCACATCAAAAACCTAACTTATAACCATTTTTTCCTGATACAAGAATTATTAAAAAAGTTAGTTGGTAAGATTTCAATTTATTTTAAATGGTAAATGAAATTTCTATTTTTTCTCTAACAAAGAAATAACTGTTTTTTTCTCCTTGAAGATATATTATAGGAACTAATTTTTGTTCTCAGTCTTATTTTTGAAAAACTACAATTAAGAAAAAATTATGATTTTGAATCTTTGATTGGTAATTGACTATTACTAGTAGGTGTACATTTATATTAGTAAAGTGAAACTCCATATACATAATTGAGGATGATTAGATTAGCGACAAAGTTACGGTCAGAGAGAGTCCTACCGACGTACTTAATCAGATCCGGTTTAAGAACTCGGTTTATTTCAATGGTTCAAATTAAAAGAGAGAAAAAAAACAAAAAAGAATTTGCTTGGAAGATGCCGTTAATGCAGACCGAAGAGATAAAATAACTCTTTTAACTACTTCTTCTTCTTCTTTGATATTTTTTCTCATTTTATTGACTTTCCGAATCTCCAAAAATCTAACCAAATAAAAAAAAATAAAAAAAAAAAGTTTTTTCTCTGCAAAGGAAAAATCTTTTCTTCACCAAATAATTTGTCTCTTTCGCAAATCTCAGCTTTCTCTCGAAATGCCCTTTCAATGATAAAATTGTGGGCTTTATTCATTTATAGTGTTCATTCGATGGTGACAGATTCTATTACCAGAAATTGATCAAAGAGAGAGAGAGAGAAACGTTGCTCTCTTGATTTTTTTTCTGGGTTTTTTTTTATAATTTATTCCGGTGATCATCGCCTTATGGAAGATTGAAGCTAATTTCTAATCTAAAGAGAGAGATGGGAGGTTGCGTGTCGACGCCTAAGAGCTGTGTTGGAGCAAAACTGAGGTCAAGTAAACGAAGGAAGAGTCGTAGACGACGAAAAATTCAAAGGAAAAGAGCCGTCTCTTCTCGTCTCTCTGACGGATCTTTCGACAATCTCGATCATCATCCTCATCGTAACTTCTCCAATCCCAGTTCTCGAGGTCTCTCTATTCCTTACCTCTCTGTCTCCTCTGCATTCGATTGAAAAATTTGATCTCTTTTTTTCTGTTAATGGTAGATTCGTTTGTATCAATTGGTGGATTAGATTGTTGGGTTTCATTAATTGTACAGCTTAGTATCTGAATCTTTTGGATTAGCTTCTGATTTTGTTTTTTATAAAGTTCACTGTTTTCTGATTATTAAATCTTTGTTTATTAATCACAACACTGTGTAGTAAAGCTTTGATCTTTTAGCTGTTTAAGGAACTTTTTTATATTTGGTAGCTAATCTCTTGTGATTCTGATTCATGTATCTCATGTGGTTTATAATCTCTTGTGTTCACTCTAGTATTAGTTAAAATCTGATCTGATTTTCGATGTTTTCTCAACAGCAACTGGCGACGACGCATGGTTTGAGTCCAATGTCGCATTTGAAACAGACTGTGATGATGATTTCCACAGTGTTCATGAAGGTAGATACTCTATACTATGTTTGTTAGCTAAGAGAGACATGCATGTTTCTCTTGTTGTCGATCTTCATGTCTCGCCTTTTGTGTTTTGTTTTTCAGATACATTGTCTATAAACGGATCTGAGCGTGTATCACTCTCGAGTACAACAACCACATCATCAACCCGAGACACTGATTCAAATGAAGTGATGTCACAATCCAAATCAGACGGTGACTTAAACGACACAAAGCAGCCTGATTTAGTTGATTCGTCTGCAGATGAAGGACTTTTGGAAAACTGCAGGATCTTACCGAGTAATTGTTTGCCTTGTCTGAATACAACAACTGTTCCTTCTATTGACAAGAGAAGGTCTCTTAGCTCTAGCCCTCCCAGTTCGAGAAAAAAAATGTCTCTTAAACTTTCTTATAAGTGGAGAGAAGGTCATGCTTCAGGAGCATTGTGTAAGTACACATTTACTTGATTCATTGGATTAGCAGGTTAATCTGAAATCGAAAACTCACATGTTGTCTCAAAAATTGTTTCAGTTTTGTCTAAAATGCAGTTGAAGAGACCGATAGCGGGTTCTCAGGTTCCTTTCTGTCCAGTTGATAAGAAAATGCTCGATTGTTGGTCAACCATTGATCCAAATAGTTTTAGGGTTCGTGGCAAAACATATTTCAGGTAAACTATTGGAGAGAACTTACTGATTTTACTTATGATTACTAGTTTAACCCATCTTAACAACAAACTATATTTTGTATTTGGTAAAGAGAAAAGAAGAAAGAGTTTGCACCTAGCCATGCTGCGTATAATCCTTTTGGTGTCGATGTTTTCTTATCAGAATACAAAATAAACCATGTTGCACAATATGTCAAACTTCCCGTTACTACCTCATCCACAAAACTCCCATCTATCCTTGTTGTAAATGTTCAGGTATGATCTAGTTCTGCTGATAGTCGGTGTTTTTGCCTTCTTTCTGAAATTGTTCGTGATTGTCTCTCTTGCTTTATGGTTGGAACAGATTCCGTTGTATCCAACTGCAATCTTTCAAGGTGACTCTGATGGAGAAGGAATGAATATTGTATTATACTTCAAACTCTCGGATAATTATTCAAAGGAACTTCCGCTCCATTTTCAAGAAAGCATTCGGGTAAACTGAAAGCTGGAGTCGGTTAGTCTCATCTTTATGGCCCTGTTAAAGGCTCTTTGTATTGAATCCGTGTTTATTTTGGCGCAGAGATTAATAGATGATGAGGTTGAGAAAGTTAAAGGCTTCCCTATGGATACAACCGCACCTTTTAGAGAGCGGCTCAAGATATTGGGACGTGTTTCAAACGTAGATGATCTCCATTTGAGTGGTCCGGAGAAAAAACTGATGCAGGCTTATAACGAGAAACCTGTTCTTTCACGTCCGCAGCACGAATTCTACTTGGTGAGCCTAAACTCTTTAACTGTTCTTCTTCGTTAGGAATATGCTTGGTAACTAATGAACTTCAAAAATGTACTCTTTGTAGGGCGACAATTACTTTGAGGTTGATATAGATATGCATAGATTCGGTTATATATCCCGGAAAGGGTTTGAAACATTCATAGACAGACTCAAGATCTGTGTTCTTGACGTTGGCCTCACAATTCAGGTAGACTTTGTTACAATCATTCGTGGATCGGAAAATCATATGGGATTTTGTCGCTTATGTTGAGGATTTGTTTGTATGAACAGGGGAACAAACCGGAGGAGCTACCGGAGCAGATTCTATGTTGCGTCAGGCTAAATGGGATTGATTTCATGAACTATCATCAATTAACTCAAGAACTCCTATGACTAACAGCATTATTTTCTCCTCTGTTTTTCCATCTGAAAAGAAACACAAAATCTAAAAGAGCATCCCTTTAGAAACCCAAGAACACAAACAAAGGGTGATGATTTTCAAGTGAATATATGAAAATTTCGAATCTTTAATCAAAAGTATTATCTTCTACTCTAAATGTGGGTCTTTATTTTATAGAATTTATCTACCTTTGAGGATCGATAGCAATACAAGTCATATATATTATCCCTGAATTCATTGGTAGAAACAAAAATTATATTCCTTTATTTAAATAACACTTTAGTTTGCTTAGTACAACATATCGAGAAAAAAAATGCTATATTGTTAACAATTAGTAATTGCAAATTGCTATATGTTAATAACTAGGCACAGATCTCGTTATACATAGAGAGATAGATATAAGAAACAGAGAAGAGCACAGATCTGAGATCTCAGTGGACATGAAGTCTTTGTTTATATTTTATACATAGAGAGAGATACAATATAAGAAACAGAGAAGGCCTATGCACAGATCTCAACTAAATTCTCAATGGAGTTAGAAAAAGTTCACGTGGTTTTGTTCCCATACTTGTCCAAAGGGCACATGATTCCTATGCTCCAATTAGCTCGTCTCCTCTTATCCCACTCCTTCGCCGGAGACATCTCTGTCACCGTCTTCACCACTCCTTTGAACCGTCCTTTCGTTGTTGACTCACTCTCCGGCACCAACGCGACCATCGTCGACGTCCCTTTCCCCGATAAAGTCCCGGAGATCCCACCCGGCGTCGAGTGCACCGACAAACTCCCTGCTTTGTCGTCCACCCTCTTCGTTCCTTTCACTAGAGCCACCAAGTCAATGCAGGCAGACTTTGAGCGAGAACTCATGTTACTGCCACGTGTCAGTTTCATGGTCTCAGACGGTTTCTTGTGGTGGACGCTAGAGTCAGCTCGAAAGCTAGGGTTTCCTCGGATTGTTTTCTTGGGTATGAACTGCGCTTCCACCGTTATATGTGACAGTGTTTTTCAAAACCAGCTTCTATCTAATGTTAAGTCCGAGACGGAGCCCGTTTCTGTACCCGAGTTTCCGTGGATTAAGGTTAGGAAATGTGATTTCGTTAAAGATATGTTTGATTCAAAATCCACCACAGATCCTGGATTCAAGCTTATCCTAGATCAAGTCACGTCTATGAATCAAAGTCAAGGTATCATATTCAACACGTTCGACGACCTTGAACCCGTGTTTATAGATTTCTACAAGCGTAATCGCGAGCTCAAGCCCTGGACACTTGGACCGCTTTGTTGTGTAAATAACTTGTAAGTTCAGTAATTACGATTTTTCTACAAATAAGTCTGGTACGAGCTAATTCTAGTACCGGCCTCTTTGATTTCTAACAGCTTGGAGTATGAAGTAGAAGAGATGGTCAAACCTAGTTGGATGAAATGGCTTGATAAAAAGCGAGACAAGGGATGCAATGTTCTCTACGTGGCTTTCGGGTCACAAGCCGAGATCTCGAGGAAACAACTAGAGGAGATTGCGTTAGGGTTGGAAGAATCGAAGGTGAGCTTCTTGTGGGTGGTCAAAGGAAATGAAATAGGAAAAGGGTTTGAAGAGAGAGTGGGAGAAAGAGGAATGATGGTGAGAGATGAATGGGTTGATCAGAGGAAGATATTAGAGCACGAGAGTGTTAGAGGGTTCTTGAGTCATTGTGGGTGGAATTCTATGATGGAGAGCATTTGCTCAGAGGTTCCAATCTTGGCGTTTCCTTTAGCGGCAGAGCAACCTCTGAATGCGATATTGGTGGTGGAAGAGCTGAGAGTGGCGGAGAGAGTGGTGGCAGCGAGTGAAGGACTTGTGAGAAGAGAAGAGATTGCAGAGAAAGTGAAGGAGTTGATGGAGGGAGAGAAAGGGAAAGAGCTAAGGAGGAATGTCGAGGCATATGGTAAGATGGCGAAGAAGGCTTTGAAGGATGGAATTGGTTCGTCTTGGAAGAATTTAGACAACCTTATCAACCAGTTTTGTAACAATGGAACATGATGATGTTGACAAATGACAACTATTATATTTTAAAGGTGCTATTAGAACATGTATTTGAGCCTGAATTTAGAAACCTGTATAAATGTTAAACCAATTTGAGCATAAATTTGGAAAGTCAGATTAAAAAGTCACTTATCTATATATGGGCCTACAGCAGGCCCAAAATGATGGGTCTTTTTATATAAATCAAAGTATTGTTGTAGTATTGAGACAAAATTAACGTTGGAAACAAAGCATGGTTGTTAAACTAGTGTAGTATAAGAATGGTTGAAAGTAATTTAGCAAAATTGACTGTATTGCCTAAAACTAATTCAGCAATTAGACCCGCAAGCAGGTAGAGAAGTCATCATACCAACAAAAAAACATATACGAAGGGGCCAATCGTTCGCTCTTGCAAGTTGCAACCGTCGCGCTTCCGATTCCGCCGAGATTGCTTCGTCCGTTTTCAGATCGAGCTCGTTGTTTTCAGGTTCCATTTCCCCTAATCATCTTCTTGCTCCACCTTATTCTTCTCTCGGCGATTTCACCCCTGAACCCTAATTTCTTCCACGCAGACGATCGGAGCTTTTCCGCTCTTGGCCTCTTTGAGAGTCGTTTGATATTTTGATTGATCGAAGAACGTGTGACCTTTTACATCGGATTTATTAGGTATTTCTTCAAGTTCCAGCTTTGATTTTATTGCTTGATTGCTCAAGTTTACATTCATTTTGCATAGTCAATTTCTGAGTTCATGATGGTTTCTATTTGTGATGTTGCTTAGTTCAATGGTTTTAGAGGTTCGTTATCACCTAGTTGATAGGTTTAGAGGTTCGTCATCTCTCTGTCATACCAGCTTATTATGCATTTTCGTGTTCCACAGCTGATTGATGTTTTGAACTTGGTCCTTTGTGTACTCTTTGTAACGCATGATGAACCAACTTCTTATGTTGATGTTGAATTCTAGTATACGTGTTTATTGTGTTTGAATTCTAGTATACGTGTGTATTGTGTTTGAACTTGGTCCTTTGTGTACAGATGTTTATTGTGTTTCAATTTTTTAAACCAGCTTTTACCGATATGGTGTTGCTTATCTGCATTTAGTTCTGTTGTTATCTTTTTCCTAATCATTCTTCTTTTTCCAGCTACAAGATAATATAATTTCTTTTCGCTTGGCTCTCCGTTGTCAAACTACAGAGGAAGATGTTTGGCTCATCCAATCGTAAGTATCTTTTACTTGTTGGTTTCCGTAGCCATCTATTTCCTTTTTGTTTTATAGTTTGATGCTATTTATTTCTTTTGTTATACTTCAAAAGAATATTGACCTTCTGAAATATTGTTCTTATAGCTTTTGGACAGTCATCTGGTACCAGCCCATTTGGGTCCCAATCTTTGTTTGGTCAGACCAGCAATACAAGTAGTAATAATCCCTTTGCTCCAGCTACTCCGTTTGGCACGTCTGCTCCTTTTGCTGCACAGTCGGGAAGTTCAATATTTGGAAGCACTTCAACCGGTGTGTTTGGTGCACCTCAAACATCCTCTCCCTTTGCCTCCACCCCAACTTTTGGAGCTTCTTCATCACCAGCATTTGGGAATTCCACTCCGGCCTTTGGAGCATCTCCAGCATCTTCACCTTTTGGTGGTAAGTACCTTTTATGGATTTCATTGCATGGTTTGTTAGTTACCTCATTGATTTATTGCTTTTCCTGGGTATGAATATATTTTATGTCTTTGGTAGGACAAGGGTTTAAGAATAAGCCCTGTTTAACAGTTTTACATTTGCTTTTGGTGATTAAGCTAATTTTATTTGTTTCCTTTTTAGGATCTTCTGGTTTTGGGCAGAAACCTTTGGGATTTTCAACGCCTCAGTCAAATCCTTTTGGAAACTCCGCGCAGCAATCCCAACCTGCATTTGGAAACACCACTTTTGGTTCGTCTACACCTTTTGGTGCCACTAACACGCCTGCCTTTGGCGCTTCAAGCACGCCTGCTTTTGGCGCCACAAGCACACCCTCGTTTGGTGCATCAAGCACGCCTGCCTTTGGTGCCACAAACACGCCTGCCTTCGGTGCCTCAAACTCTCCCTCCTTTGGCGCCACAAACACACCTGCATTTGGCGCGTCACCGACTCCAGCTTTTGGTAGCACTGGCACCACGTTTGGCAACACTGGCTTTGGCTCTGGAGGTGCTTTTGGAGCTTCAAGCACCCCTGCTTTTGGTGCATCAGGCACTCCGGCTTTTGGTGCATCAGGCACTCCTGCCTTCGGTGCATCAAGTACTCCTGCCTTTGGGGCATCCAGTACTCCTGCCTTTGGGGCATCCAGTACTCCTGCCTTTGGGGGATCTAGTACTCCTTCTTTTGGTGCATCAAATACCTCATCCTTTAGTTTTGGCTCGTCTCCAGCTTTTGGCCAGTCTACATCAGCCTTTGGTAGCAGCACCTTTGGCTCTACACCATCTCCCTTTGGAGGTCAAGGTTCTTCTTTTAGCATGTCCCATTCAGTAAAATATTATAACTGCTAATTGTTGTGTTGGTCATTTGAATAAAGTGGTGACGAAATATGTTTGCATGATTTGTTTTGCAGGTGCGCAGGCTTCAACCCCTACATTTGGGGGTTCTGGTTTTGGTCAATCAACTTTCGGTAGTCAACAAGGGGGCAGTCGAGCTGTGCCTTATGCACCAACAGTTGAGGCAGAGACAGGGACCGGTACTCAGCCTGCTGGAAAGTTGGAATCTATTTCTGCCATGCCAGCATACAAAGATAAAAACCATGAGGAGCTTAGGTGGGAAGATTACCAGCGAGGAGATAAAGGTACACCTGATCAAACAAATCTTGTACTACATCTGCTTAACGCTACATTTCTGTATCTTATTTAACAAAATCTTGATTCTCGTACTCTTCAATTCTCAGGTGGACAACTTCCTGCTGGCCAGTCTCCTGGCAATGCCGGATTTGGTATATCACCTGCTCAACCAAATCCTTTTTCTCCATCACCGGCGTTTGGTCAGACATCAGCAAATCCAACAAACCCTTTTTCGAGCTCAACATCTACCAACCCTTTTGCCCCTCAAACCCCAACAATTGCCAGTGCGAGTTTTGGAACGGCTACCTCAAATTTTGGTTCCTCGCCCTTTGGTGTAACATCTTCTTCCAATCTTTTTGGTTCAGGTTCATCAACTACCACATCCGTTTTTGGATCATCCTCCGCTTTTGGAACAACGACATCATCACCGTTATTTGGTTCATCAAGCACTCCGGGATTTGGCTCTTCTTCATCAATCTTTGGTTCAGCTCCTGGTCAGGGGGCAACTCCAGCATTTGGCAACAGTCAGCCATCTACTCTGTTCAATTCAACCCCTTCGACCGGACAGACTGGTTCAGCGTTTGGACAGACTGGTTCTGCTTTTGGACAGTTCGGACAGAGTAGTGCTCCTGCATTTGGCCAAAATAGCATTTTTAATAAACCTTCCACTGGATTTGGAAACATGTTTTCAAGTTCTTCAACATTAACTACGTCTAGCAGCTCTCCCTTTGGACAAACAATGGTGATTTTCACATTCGCTATTAAGCCTAAGCACTTTAGTTTTTTTTTTCCATTTCTTTTGGTGATGCCTGTTCTCTCCACAGTTTGCAGTTCTTTTGCATCTCTTAATTGACACCGGTACCTAGTTCCCTTCTTTTCTAATTTTGGTCTTCCAATCTTGCATTATTTCTGTAGCCTGCTGGTGTGACACCCTTTCAATCAGCTCAGCCAGGTCAAGCATCAAATGGTTTTGGTTTCAACAACTTCGGTCAAAATCAAGCAGGTACGTCGCTCGACCAAGTCACTGACATTACCATCTTATTTCTAGATGCTAACTCTATATTCATGGTCTAAAGCTAATACAACTGGAAATGCTGGTGGACTGGGATTTTTTGGTCAAGGCAACTTCGGGCAATCGTATGGTGTTTCTGCTTGCAAGACTTTTATTTCCGCTCTTTTTGAATAGTTTATTTATGGGTTTCATTTTGACAGGCCTGCTCCGCTGAACTCTGTTGTTTTGCAACCAGTTGCTGTTACAAACCCATTTGGAACACTTCCTGCTATGCCTCAGATTTCAATAAATCAAGGTGGAAATTCACCTTCCATTCAATATGGAATCTCCAGCATGCCTGTAAGCCTGCTCTTCCTTCTGCAACTCCCATACGGTGCATTGTTCTTTTTATCCAGAGTTAGATATAGTCTCCGTATAGCTGTTCCCTCTAATAAAACCCTATGTTAGACATTCAGTTCTTCCACATGCATCTTGAAGCTTGTTACTATTAATAATAAATAGAAGTAGTTGATTACTTGATTATTAATTGGTTCTTAATCATTTTCTTTTTCCTGTCAGATTGTTGACAAACCTGCTCCTGTTAGAATATCATCTCTCCTGACTTCTCGACACCTATTACACAGGCGGGTCAGGCTGCCGGCAAGAAAGTACCGTCCTGGCGAGAATGGTCCAAAGGCAATGCTTCGTTCTTGTGAAATATATAATCACAATTTATTTTACTTAATCTAAAGTCTTGGTGCTGAGGTTCGTTCTATATGTTTAAATCTTAAAATGGTCTTTGTAGGTTCCATTTTTCACTGATGACGAGGAGAGCTCAAGTACACCAAAGGCGGATGCTCTTTTCATTCCAAGGGAGAACCCTAGAGCTCTAGTTATACGCCCAGTTCAACAGTGGTCTTCAAGGGATAAATCAATACTTCCAAAGGAACAACGCCCGACTGCTCCAGTACATGACAATGGTAAGCTTCCTTTTTTCTATTCCTTTGGTTATTGCATAGCTTGCAGTCCTTCTTTAAGTTTTCAATATAGATAAAGCTTTTTGAGTCACTCTGCTTCAATTTATTCCCATGGAGATGGCAGCATTCAAATCTTAGACTAGCACTTTTAAGTTGGAATTTTTAATACCTACTCTTTTGTACTCTCATAAGAGCACCTTTTCTTGTTCATGCGTGGTTTTTATTTTGAAACTTGATTACTCTGCGTGTGAGAAGGACTATGCGAAATGATTACTCTAATGAGGTACTAGGTACTTAGGTAAACCATTCCTGGCTCTTTTTGACAATATTAATCGTAAATTTCAGGGAAGAGTCCTGACATGGCCACTGATGCAGCAAACCATGACAGTGAGTATATAAAATATTAGAAAAGTTTGGTTACGTTTTTCTATGTTTGGACAATTCTCGGACTGACTTGAGAGACAATATTCACAGGAAATGGTAACGGAGAACTTGGTGCTACTGGAGAAAGAATTCATACATCAGTCAATGCAAATCAGAAACCGAATGGCACAACACGCTCAGATCAGGCCAGCGAGAAAGAGCGTCCCTACAAAACACTAAGTGGACACAGAGCAGGAGAAGCCGCGATTGTTTATGAGCACGGTGCAGATATCGAGGCTCTTATGCCGAAGCTACGACAATCTGATTATTTCACAGAGCCACGTATCCAGGAACTAGCAGCTAAGGAAAGAGCGGATCCGGGTTACTGCAGGCGGGTAAGAGACTTTGTGGTGGGACGACACGGTTATGGTAGCATAAAGTTCATGGGAGAGACAGATGTGCGTAGGCTAGACTTGGAATCACTGGTTCAGTTCAATACACGGGAAGTGATTGTATACATGGACGAGAGCAAGAAACCGGCTGTTGGGCAAGGTTTGAATAAACCGGCGGAAGTAACGTTGCTGAACATAAAATGTATTGATAAGAAGACAGGGAAACAGTTTACTGAAGGAGAGAGAGTGGAGAAGTATAAGATGATGCTTAAGAAGAAAGCTGAGGCACAAGGAGCTGAGTTTGTGTCATTTGATCCAGTGAAAGGCGAATGGAAGTTTCGGGTCGAGCATTTTAGTTCGTATAAGCTGGGCGACGAAGATGAAGAAGATGGAGTTTAGGGTCTCATCTCAGAGTTACTCTCTTGGAACTGATCTGTTTTGTGTAGTGAATGTTGGAATTGTGCAGTAGCAAATAGTGCCCTACTCCATTTGTTGTGTGTTTCTTTCTATACCTTTTTTTTTTGTTCTCATAGTTTTTTCTTGTTTCCTTATAATTTTCTCCTTTTTTGGGGGTTCGGTGTGTACTGTGTAATGGACCTAATGGTATCTGTTACTGTATTTGAACGAAACTGTTTTTTTTTCTTCTTTTACATATTCACTCGAGAGTAGAGACTTTGAGAGTAACAATGCCAAAAGCAAAAAAGTGAAACCTGCCCTAACTCTGTTTCTTGTAAATCAAGTTATTGAACATCCATAACGTAAGAAGCTCTGAGCAGGTCCATTGGGAGGACCTTGTGAGTTTCTTAGAAGAATCTTAAAGAAAAAAAGTCAAAAAATAATTCAAAATTGTGGTATTAAGCAAGGTTCCCACCTTGCATTAGGTGTTTTTTGGTTTTTAAGGTTCGTGTACGTGTCATTCTCTTATTGGAAGACTATAGAAAAAAAAAAAATCCACTATCCCGTGTTTTTCCCTTCAAAATCGATTTGCCTTCTCTCCTCCTTGTTTTCTTCGAACCTCTACGGATTCAGATTCAAGCTTCAAATCCAGGAAACACCAATGTCTTATCTTCCTCAAGCTATGTTCCTCATTTAAACATCTTCTACATATCCATGTCTTCTCACTCCAAAATGACAGCTTTATCATCATCGAGCTTGTACGGGTTTCATCACTATCCCTCGTCAAATACCTTACCTTTGCGTGAACCCTTCTGCTTCACTCTTCAGATTCGACTCCTTCTACTTGGAATATGCTCAGTAGAGGCTATTCTTCGAGTGATACTCTAGTAGAATCGATTTGGTTTTATTCTGAGATGGGGAGACGAGGAATCAAACCTAATAAGCTTACTTTTCCTTTTCTTCTCAAGGCTTGTGCTTCGTTTTTAGGTCTCATTGCGAGTAGGTACAGATTCAAGTTGAGGTTTTGAAACATGGGTTTGATTCTGATGTGTATGTTGGGAATAATTTGATTCATCTATATGGTTCTTGTAAGAAAACTTCTGATGCCAGGAAGGTGTTCGATGAAATGACTGACAGAAATTTTGTTTCTTGGAACTCGATTATGACTGCTCTTGTTGAGAATGGTAAGTTCAATTTGGTGTTTGAGTGTTTTTGTGAGATGATTGGTAAGAGGTTTTGTCCGGATGAGACGACAATGGTTGTTTTGCTCTCTGCGTGTGGTGGTAACTTGAGCTTGGGGAAATTGGTGCATTCACAGGTGGTGGTAAGAGAGTTAGAGTTAAACTGTAGACTAGGTACTGCACTTGTAGACATGTATGCAAAATCTGGTGGATTAGAGTATGCTAGGTTAGTTTTCGAAAGAATGGTTGACAAAAATGTTTGGACTTGGAGTGCCATGATTGTAGGTTTAGCACAATATGGATTTGCAGAAGAAGCCCTTCAACTATTCGCGAAGATGATGAAAGAATCAACGGTGAGACCAAACTACGTGACATTTCTCAGTGTTTTATGCGCTTGTAGCCACACATCATTGGTGGATGACGGGTACAAATACTTCCACAAGATGGAGAAAGCACACAAGATCAAACCAATGATGATTCACTACAGAGCAATGGTAGATATCTTGGGACGTGCAGGTCGACTAAACGAGGCGTATGACTTCATAAAGAAAAAGCCTTTTGAGCCTGATGCGGTTGTTTGGAGGACTCTACTCTCCGCTTGTAGTATCTATCACAATATTCGGACCACAATTTGTATTCAAAGCTATTATTGTCTCAATTTTTAGAAAATATTCTCTATATATACAACCATGTATCGCTCTTCTTCTTTATCCAATTGTCTTCACTCTTCTTTGTTCTTCAACTCCAAAACCCCAAAAACACTATTCTTTAGAAAACCCACTTAAGGACTCCACCATTGGACAATAAAAAATATAAGGATTCAACAAAAACTCTAAACTCTCATTTATTCAAAATTTTGTATTAAAAAATTGTAAGGAGTCCTTAATTAGGACTCTCCAATGGGGATTTGTGTTGTATTCAAGTGACAACAATACCATCGAAGCATCAACTTTTGCATGTGTTTAATAATAATATTAATGTATACATGGAATCTAAGCCTGTTAAGCTATAAAGAATGATAGATCTTCTAATTAATGTACATATGCAAATCTAAGCTTTATAAACTATATAAATAATAAAGAAGCTAATTAAAACATCAATGTCTTTCTTTGAAATAAATTTATTGACATTCATCTTCTTTACTTGTATTAATGAATTGTTCATGCATGCAATTAATCCTGAACTTTATAACACAAATACAGACCTCTATATATCTCCCATACCGAACATTATAAATAATATGTGAGTCCAGGAGCTTCAATTCATCAAAAGTCATATCCCTCTCGTCACAAAAACAAAAACCGAACGGAAAGCAGAAAAGAAAATGGCTAAAAAAATCAATACGAAACTGAGACTGGCTCAGTACGATCCATGGGTCATAACAACGACGGTGAAAGTGGAAGAAACACCGTATATAATTAGATTACCAACGAAAGAGACGCAAGAAGAAATAATCCAGAGATGGGGCTACAAGTTTGACATTAACAAATGCGTGGTAGTGAAACTTTATGATTGGGATACAGAGAAAACATATGACATCACTATTAATTATGATGAGGTGGGCTATTTCTTGAACCTTGAATGGCTTCTTGTCGTCTTTGATAGGCAGCTCAAGGAAGGAGATAAGGTCGGATTTTTTTGGGATAATCTTAATCCAACTTTGAATTTTAAAGTTTTACAAAAAAAGGTCGCTTAAACTTAGCTCATGTTTTTTCCATATCTCTCTATATAGCAGATTTCTTTTAAATATATATATATATATATATATATATATATATATATATATATATATATATACATTTATTCTTATTTAGTTAATAATACTAATCCATTATGTAAAACACTTTCAGATGAAAACCTTGGTGTTGTTAAAAAAAAAAAAGAGAAAATCTTTGGTTGCCTAATCTTCTCTACTTTAGTACAGTTGGAAAAATATATAAAAACAAAATCATATATTAGGCGATGTAAAGAAACTATAATTCTGATGTCAAAAAAGAATGAAAAAAAAAACTATAATTCTACGATAACAAACAAATGTCCTTAATTAATTATAGAATTATTAGATTAGTCAATTACTGGTGTAAGATTTAGCAGAGGAAACAGAGGGGCTAGTAACGTCACGCTCTCCGTTGCCACCGAAGTTGCCTTTTCCCATCAACATCTTTATCGCTATCTGAGCTACTTCCGCAAACCACTCTTCCTCCGGCAACGTCCTGTTTCATCATCCATCATTATTAATTATCATCAAACCATCACGCTTACATGTTTATGTTCTAACCGTATAATAAATAAATACCTATAAGGGTCGAGTCCAGTTGCTGAAACTGCTTCTACGGCTCGAGCTATAATGTTCTTGATCACTTGATGAAGGTTTCTCGACAAGTACCTTCCTTGGGAGGCAAATATCATCACAAACTCCATGTCCAGATAAAACTGTTGAAGACCAAGTGGACCTAATGGTTTATCTCCTGTCTCCATCTCTTCCCAGAAACTCTGATCATCAGATATCCAAAGAATCACTGTCTCCGTCAGTCTCATCAGCAATATCGTCGCGAATCTCTCTCTTCCCACAAACATATCGCTCACAATCATCGCTATTCTCGTCAATTTCGCAAACAGTTCCTGGAAAATCGGTGAAGGAAACCATTCAGGCTCTTCAGTGGTTTCGTCCATGAGGATATAAATCTCAGAGCTGAGACGGACTTCTCCTTCTTCAGTGAAGATAAGTTCAAGTGCATGTTGTCTGCAGAAGCTATCTCTTAGTCTATCCACTGATCTTTGAAGCTTCTTCTTCCATTCTCTGTGCTCTGGTCGGTTCTGTCTATCTGAGGAACCTCTTCTTGGAGTGGATTGGCTCGCACCTTGTGGCAAAATCCTAGAAGCAGAACGCGGGATTAGCTCGTCTGCCAAAAGAAGCGCATTGACTAACAAAGCTGTTTGTTGGGACTCAGTTTCAGCTACTTTAACTATTCTATGAACTGGATTCTCTTCGTTTTCAGCTGAACCAGGCAATGCGTTGATCAAGAGATCAACATACGAGTTAAACACTTGCAAAACACCGTCTAGTGCAATGCCGTCTAACTGTAATGCTTCGTCTAGCGGTCCAGCATCCTCCAGAAATTCCTAAAATCCACAGAAATAACAAACTTATATAGCAAGAAGGAAGATAAACTGAAGCAGCAAATATGATCGTCTTTGAAGAGAAATGTTGATTACCTGAACCATGGAGTTGAATCTTTGAGCGCTTATAGAAAGCTTGAGATGCGGTGCAATGGGAGTAGTCGATGAGGCTCGTGATCCTGTTGGTGTATAAGAGAGTGACCAATCATCCGAAGCAGCTAAAGCGGCACTGCTTTGTTCAATCCTCTTGAGATTTCCAGTCAATGCTTGTTCCACCCCCGGCCTAAAGTGTTTCAACAAAACAGGGGAAAGAGCTAAACCGCGAGACTCCAATGAAGAACAGTGGGATGCACAGAGTTGGATGCACTCTGCGGTTACTCTTAAGCTTCCTGCAGCAGCAGATGAAGCCAAAGTATGTCTCTTCAGTAAAAGAGCGAACGACTCTGCTTGTTTAACCGCCCATGTCACAAGCTCTGATGTATAGGCCGGATCCTCTCCAACAACTGCTTGAGAGTCGCTCGCAGCTTGAGCAATCGTTGAGAAAACAAGCTGAGAGAGCGCAGCGGCAAATGCTACCCCGTAGGAAGTGTTGGAAGCTCTTAGGCTTTGAATGTTGGCTTGTAGCCTCCGCTCGTAAGACCTAAGAAGCAATGTGTGGGCGCGAGAACCGTCCCCGAGTTTCTTGAGAGCCAAGACGGCTGCTCTAAGCTCGCCTGCTCTTGTAGAAGGTTGGCTAATAGCTTCTGCCAATTGGTCAGCCAGCTCCTGTCTCTTTTCTTTGATTGCATTGTTCAGAGAAAGAAGAGTGCTGGGACTGAGAGTCCGTTTCTCATGTGCTTCTATAGCCACACGACGCCCTTCTTCTAACGCAGCCATGGACTCCTCAACTCTCTTCTCAGCTAAGAGGACTTCAAGTCTATCAAAAAACTCCACAACCCAATTCTCAATTTTGGACAACTGTTTGTTATCCATATCATACAAGTCTTCGTCTCTTAAGTCGTCAGCGTCATCAGCGCACAAGGAACTAATGTGAACGCCATCAGCTAAGCCGTGAACAAGAGCTGCTTGAGCAGAGAGAAGGTTTCTCATAGAAAGAAGCTGTCCTTCAAGAGCTGAAATCTCCTTAGATGTCCTGCAAATCATCAAGAAGTACATGAAGAACCTAACTAACAAGAAAACCGCAAAAATCGACAAATAATGTTAAGAAGATTACACACACACCGTATAAAGGCAGCATAGTTTGCGTAGACGCTCTTACGCATCTCCTCTGCAGAAGCTTTCTTGAGTTCAACGAGGTAAGAAGACAAATGCCTTGTCTCCTGTAAACCAAAACACACCACCGATAATATCTCATGAGATTCTAACATTTTCACAAACACTTGGAGTGCTAATCCAACAAGATCACACAATGTACAACGAAAGGAACATTGTTGATGATAACATACACAATCTCATGACAATGGTTTGATTTGGAAGAAAAGGACCTTTTCGTTCATACGCTGGCATTTGGAGGTGACATAAGCTTCGGGATCGAAAGTTGAGCCTTTGAAAACCTTAAGACGATCACTTAGTGTCAGATTCCCTTCGAGTTCAGCCGAATTGCCGATGCTAGACGACATTGATCCTCTTTCTCTCGCTTCCATTTTCGAAATTTTCCAGATCCACAAGGCAAAGAAAAAAAAAACGATAGAGAAATTGAATGATGAAAACAGACGAGGAAGATTGGAAATGCGAAGGAGAAGGCGGCAAATTTGGGTACAGGAAGGCCACAGAGAGACGACGACTCCTTGACTCTGGGAAAAACGGAAGCGCGTGGGTCTCACGCGACATATATTGCGTCCACGTCCTTGCCATTACTGGGCCTCTGGGCCTCAATTATTTATGAATACTTCTTCGTCAATCTTATTATTGGATCCTTTTTTTATGCTAATCAGTTGTAGTTAATTTTTTTGTATTTTTTAACAAGTGGAGTAACATTTTCCATGCTTAGTTCCGCGTTTTCTGCCGTTTATAGTTTAAACAAATTACAAAACTGTGGGAATATTCATTTTAGCTTAAACCAAATCCATGCGACTGAATCCAAAATTCATGAGAAAAATATTCATTTCTGATGACACTTGGTCATCTTGGATTGCAAAATTTTGATAGATAATAACGATATCAACTAATAACATCGAGAAGGAGAACACAGCAATGGGTATGCAAAATGAAGGTAGCGTGGCCCAGTAACAGTAAGATCTATAAAATAACAACTGTTCGTGTCTAGGCTTCAATTTCAATGGCACCCCTCTCTTTGATTATATATTTTCATGAAAATTTACGAGTAAAACAATAATAATCAACAGCTGCTGGTTGGATAAAAGCATTTCCGACAAAGATACAAAGTAAGGAAGAGACACAACCATTAAGAAAGAAGAAATACAAGGATTCAGTGCGTGCTTTATTCAATAAGACACATTCCATTATGACGCCATTATATAGCATTACCATCAATATCGTCTAAGAGGTAAAGGATCCTCATCCTCTAGGGAAGGCAGTCCTCTACGACCACGTTTCTCAAACATAGCATATTCACCACGTCTCCCAACAAGAAAATGTTCACGACGTCTCTCAGCAACAGGATCTTCGAAGGCCAATGCGTCAAACCTCACGAGCATCAAGAAAGCTGGCAAATTCTTGGCATCAAGGTCCATCTGGTTGAACTCTGGGTCTATTCTGTAAAACACTTCCTTAGCAGCTTCGAAGCCTTTCAAATCACCCACAACTTCCACATAATCTGCAAACTGTGAGGCAGAAAATTTCATCTTCTTTTTCTCCATCCACCCGTAGATCTACAATCAACGAAAAACATTCATTATTAATCGGAAACAAAAAACAAAAACCACCTCAAATTTGATGCTCAATTCTGATCGATTAGACAGACCTCAAGAGCATGATCAAGTTTCCCGTCCTTGAAAAGACGCTTCGCCCAGCCGGCGAGATCCGCCACAGACAACGAAGTTCTCTTCTCCTTTTGCTGTTTCGTTATGAGATCTAAGTATTCACCAGTGAGAGACTGCAGCTTCTCAAACATCTTCTCCTTCTCCCGCTTCCTTGAGGCCGCCTTCGCCTTCTTGGAATCTCCTTCGCATAGATCAGCCGACAACGGAGCAGCGACCGTTGTACATGCCCTCTTCCAGAGTTGAGGATAACCGGAAGCCCTAATCAGAATGCTGCGGAAGTTCATTTCTCACCGTTGTTGCAAACCCTAATTTCACTACACCAATTCCTTTTTATTACTCCATTTGTTCTTAAAATATTGATTTTCTAGGTTTTTATGTTTGTTCCCCAAAGATTAAATTTTTAGATATTTTTTTATTGACTGATATTAATAATTTGTAAATTTAATGGTTGAAAATAATTAACTGTTTTAGATTACTATAATTGGTTCATAGTTATATAAAAATATTTTAACTCAAAAAAATATTAGAAACCAAACCAAAGCAAATCACAAGCAAATGTTTCAGTTTTTACAAAACATAGAAGGATACCAAATTATCCAACTTTTCAATATCAAACAGAAACTGCATACCGAAAAATATTTTAAACTCGTAAATCTACATTAAAGCTAAACAAAAATACAAATGGCGTTCATGGTTTTCAGTTTTTATAGTAACAGTACTGATAGAACTAATCCAAATGGCACCAAATTCAAACCTGACTGCACCTCTAAGTAAAATTATATTATCCATGCTCATGGCATGCGATGATAATCTCTAATTTACATAAATAATATATTTTGCAATTTTTTGTCCAATATTTAACAAGATGAGTGAAATGTCATAGTTAGCTAGGGTTAAGATCTCTGTTTGATCAAATTCTACACGATTTAAAACGGTAAAGCTCTGTTATTGTATTTGTAATCCATAGGTACGTAATTTTTATTTTCAGATAAAAAAAGTATTGAAGTATAAGTATAGTCTCAGCGAGTTGACTAATATCATCATTACGATTCTTAGCATTAATATAGTATGGTGATTCCTTATGAGCTGGAAAGTGGAGAAAAAGCAAATAAGATTAATGGTGTTTTGAATAATATTGCAAAGAGAGAAGCAATAGAGAATCTTATACTGCGATATCACAAAGTTATAGAAAGAAGAAGCAAAGATTCGATCTATGAAGCTTTTTTTTTTTTTGAATAAATCTATTAAGCTTTCTCTTCGAACCACTCCATCTTTTGATGCTCCCCGATTGAATTGTCTAACGCAAAAACTTTAACTCCTTTATTGCAGACTCATAACCATCCAAACAACAAACCATGCAAAGGGTACATTACCCATTCTCCTGTTTTTTAAAAGAAAAACACACTTTCTGTAAGACCAATCAATATACTGTTAAATAGAAACAAAAAAATGTAGAAGTTTTTGTCTGTAAATTCAATTGAGAAGAGCTAAGTTATAGCTGAGAGCACAAGATTATCCATGAAATAATGTAGTGCTCAATATAAATAATTTGACTAGATATAGTCAAAGTATGAGAGTGGTGCTTACTTGAGAGCCAAGGAACAAGAATAGAAGCAGAGTTGTATAGGAAAAAGCAATCCGATGTCGTGTTGATCCCACCGGGACAGTTACAAACGAACGAGCTTGTCTGAGTGTTGAAGCCACAAGCACCGTTACTACGCTCACAGCCACCGCAGACGCCAGGGTACTCATCGAAAACGTTGAACTTGTACTTGAGTGCGATTCCGTAGTTCCAATTCTCCGGGTGGGATTCTTGGCCTGGACCGAGGTTGTAGAAGCCGGAGTACGACGAGCACTTGAGTTTGTTCAGATCCATTTCGAACGATGGTCCGAGATCAAGAGGCACGTAGACGCAGCACGTTGATACTTGAAGGTTTATTAGACTTATCGCCCTGCCAATCCGAAAATAGAGTTACAAACCGGCTTTAGATTACAATTCGAACCGGTTTTGTCATACCGGACTTTATTACTGTTTCCGAAAGTAGATATATTGCATTTTTCGTATATATTTTGAAAATATTTAATATACTTTTATTCAGTTATTCTTAATTTGAATTATTCCGATAATAATTGTTCCGGTTTAGATAGAATAGTAGGCCGGTTTAATTTGAATTATTGGGTTACCTGCAATTGGAGTACAAGAAGGTGCAAATGGAGGAGCTTTGACGGTCACAGAGGGAGACACGTCCGCTACCGTTACTTAACGGCGTGAAAACAGGGGATTCGTCTACGGAACAGTCAAGGAGCGTGAAAACGGTGTCGTCATGGAAAGAAAACGGAGCGTCCCAATCCAACCCGAATCCATGGCTGGGTCGGGTACATGCACACGTGGACATGGACGGGTCAGTGACGTAAATCTCTTGCTTGGCGTAGTCGACGGAAGTGATAGGGTAACAGCCTGTGTGGGTGGTGAGCGTCAAAGTCTGTTGGTCCGGGTCGCACGTGATGTAACGTGTGAAACGTGGGTCACCGCAACCTGACCCGGTTCCGAGCGGGTACTTGATGGGTATTTGGCCGCATGTTTTTTGGCAAGCTTGTGAGGAGACATGAGAAGAAAGAAGGAAGAAGAAAAAGAGAACGAAAAAGAAAGAAGAAGAAGAACACTTCAAACTCATGCTAGCTAGACGTTTCAGAAAAAGGGAGAGGGAAATGTGAATTATAGATGAATTGAGAGTGTGAATGTAACCTAATATAAGATGCAATGCTAAGAGGAATACTAATTTGCATATGTGAATATTTATATGCAAAATATTGGTGTAGATGTTTGCCAATATATAGAAGAATAATAATTTGTATATACATATTGGCTTTTTTCTGTTAAATCCTAGATTCTTTTGGTCTTTTTTTTCTTTGGTTCTTTGATAATAGATTCTTTTTTGTTGTCTATACATACCATATCGTATGACTGATTACAACATTAGATAATGACTTGCAAAAAAGAAGAAGTACAAACATAACATTCGAATTCCCTATAATACATTAACATGCATATATGCTTTGATTATATACACGAGCAACTTTTATTGGAAAAAATAAATTCTAGCAATAGTTTATGCAAAATACAACATAAAATTGGTAATTTTTATTTATTTATTTATGGCATTCGACGTTTGGGCAATGCGAATGTCTCAATAAGCTAAATTTTTTGTTATTGGAAAATTGAACAAAGATTATGTACTACTATGACAATCTTTTTATGTGGGTATAGATATTTCTCACTCGCGTACGTGTTCTTGTAACAATATTATTTAACTCGAATATTGATCGACCAAAGTTTGTGAAATTGATGGCGTAGTGGGCTCTTTGAGGAATATAAGTGATAAGAATGATAAAATCTATTAAGAAATAGAAAAGTATGGGTATAGAAAAATATATTTAAGAACGTATATTGTTATTTAGACAAAATGTGCCTTTAGGGTTGTCCCGGACTAACCAGGAAATAAGGCCTATAAGACATAATAATATGGCACAAACATCATTAATGTTAACTGCCCACTCACTCTAAAGTCCCCAGCCAACCAAGCAAACGGGCAGGATAAGGGAATTAGATTCATGAGAATATAGTAAAGAAACCTAAAAGGCTAAAGTTGCTCAAAAAGTCTCAACTTTAGTTTGTTTATAATTCATTGTATGATAATGTATTTGTGGTTATAACTAGTGAAGATATAATGCATTTTGCAAAAGTATTATTCTATATGGTATTCTTCTCATGAGATTGTTCTGGAAGTCGATCAATTTATCTTCTTATGTATATATTAGACAATTGATGTGTATTTAAAATGTTGTCATAAAAGAAAGAGACGTTTCTCTTTAAAAAAAAAAAAGAATTAAAAGAGATGCGACCGGCAAATAAATTCTGCAAGAAACAAAAAAAATTGAGTCTATTTTGTTTTGTAATACATATCTAACTCATGAAATTAAATATATTTAGATGTATTTAGGAATAAATATTTAATTATAGAACTTACAAGCCAAAATACTGTAAACAAAATGTAAAACTTGAATAACTAACGACACACCATCTTGCTTGTTTGGAAATCAAGAAAATAATATATTTCGTTACATTGAATTATAAAGATGAGCTAGTGAGAAATGAAAGGGACATAAAAAAGGAATTATCATCCACACAAACTTTAAAGCACTATTCCAGAATCTTAAGTCATAAAACTCATAATTTCAAAATCATCTATCTCAGTATTCAAAACAATCAACAACTTGACTAAGTAGTAAGTACCACATTTTCTTACTCACAATCTGACTAAAGATATATATATATATATATATATATATATATATATATATATATATATATATATATATATAAAGGCCTAAAGTATGTATGATCTTTTTTTTTTATATTAAGGAAGTTTCAATTCCTTTTGGGCCTGTAGTCTTCCTCCGCTAGGGGCCGACATGTGATCCATTGTACATTTAAAGGAATCGACGTCTCTCCAAAATAAATGTATAAGAGCATCTCCAATGGTTTTAACCCCATGAAGGGTTCTCAGAATTTTTTAAGAATAAATTTAGCATTTCTCAAATTTAAGTACTAGCATAGGAGCTTTTAAGTTTTGTGTCCTCCAATGGTTAGAACCACCCATGGGGTTCTTTAGAAAAAAATTCAAATTTTGCAAAACAATACATGGTTCTTCTCTTTTGTGTTCTTGTACAAGTCCCATATATGGTAAACATCATCTCTCTCCCTGCTTCACCATATAGCTTTATGAGTCTCTCGTAAGACTTTGGATCATTCAATTCATCTGTTTTACGAAGCATCTCTCTCGCCTTTCCCTTAGAACCATCTCTTAGATAAGCCTTTGCAATGTCAAGCATTGTGAGCCACTCAAACGTTGTAATTGCATTCCAGAATCAACTCAACATCAACAACGCTCGTCTTTAGCTAGAATCACCCAAAAAAAATATGATGAACACACTTACACAATCTCTGATACCAACTACGAAGTAAGGACATTAACCAATCCAAAGCATCATTTTTTTTGGAACCAGTCATGATTAGAGACGCCAATCGTTGTAAGCATGACAATGCCCCCACAAAGCTTAAGTAACAGCCCACAAAGGGCCTCCCACAATATGAAACCAAACAATCCCACATCATTCATACATGAAAAGCTACACTCTTTTTATAAACAATCAAATTGATATGAATACTCTCCATAAAATTAGACATTTCTAAGAACTGATTCGATACCTAACTTCCAATTATACACGAAATTGAACGTCTAATTGGCGACAAATCTAGACGAATGAAACAAAAATTTCAACAGGAACAAAATGAAATCAAAAACGAATTGGATCGACTCGATAGCTGAAACTAGAACAGGATCGAGAGTATTCTAGGAGTATCTACCACAAGGAACAGACAATTCACCACAACGTAATCAAAGTTCTTTAGATGTCTAACCTCTTCACGAACTTGACGAAGCTTGTTGATCACTGCGTCTATGCAAACTCCGCTCGGACCACTGATAACGATGACGATTTCAGTCGGCGGTGGGATAATTGGATCGGCGGTGGAAGAAGAACCCAATTGAAATTCTAGAGAACGAAGCGATGGTTTGGTGGGAGATTGGATTGGGGACAAAACAGATAGAATTGGGTCTTCGATTTGGTAAAACGTCGAGAGAGACGACAGAGAGCCGGTTCTCCTTATAATTTTGGGTTTTGATTTATTTTTATTAACATTTAACCAGAGAACCCCTTCCCAAACTAACTAAAACCTCCCATTGGAGATGGCCTAACCTTGCACCATTTTAGTGATAGCCGCAAACCATTTTATTAATGTTAATTAGGAATTTGAGTGGAAACAATGAGCTTAAAGCGTAAGAAAACAAACAAAACAAAATTGAGACGAATATTCTTTTTGCGGGATTTGGTGACTGCGATTCAATGTTCACATTTCGTGTGGTCCTGTGAGGCATGACGTACATGTTTGTTTTTTAGGTGAATTTGTGTTTGTCTTCCCTGAGATGTAATTAATTATCATTTAATGGTTTCACTTCTTTCGTTTAATAGTACTGTATCACTTAATTAGCTGGCAAAAAAGACAAAAAAAAAAAAAAAACCCAAATAAACATCACATCGTTAATCGTTAAAGCAAAAATATTAACTTATACTCCTAATAATAATACAAATTTCTTAAACATGAAATACAAATTTATACAAGTGAAGATTGCCGCTAGTTTTTATGGTTTCAATTGTTGCCACCCATATAAATGCCGTCTCGTCGACCACAATAAAGTGATGGACCAACAATTTCAACGTTTTCCCACCCGTTTGATACACGTGTCAAGCTCTAATTGGGCCTTCTTCGCTATCTATCACCGCCATCAAATTTACCTACCCTCTTCCCTTCCATATAATAAGTAACAACAACACACCGATCTAAAATAAACGCTTCAACGTGTCAAAACATTTTCACTCACAAATTCACACGCACCGAGTCCTCTGTTTTGGATCTTAGAAGAGAAAATGGCAAGAAGCGACGTGAAGCTGATCGGTGCATGGGCGAGTCCCTTTGTGATGAGGCCGAGGATTGCTCTAAACCTCAAGTCTGTCCCTTACGAGTTCCTCCAAGAGACGTTTGGGTCTAAGAGCGAGTTGCTTCTTAAATCAAACCCGGTTCACAAGAAGATTCCGGTTCTGCTTCATGGTGATAAACCGGTGTGTGAGTCTAACATCATCGTCGAGTATATCGATGACACTTGGAGCTCATCTGGACCGTCCATGCTCCCATCGGATCCTTACGATCGGGCAATGGCTCGGTTCTGGGCTGCTTACATCGACGAAAAGGTATTTTTATTTTCTTCTTTCACCTGCTCTTCAAGATTTTAATTAATTTGATCTTTAGAGTTTGTTCACAATAAATAAGTTTAAATCTATAGTGCAGAGTTTTTGCAAAGCAAAATATATGTCTTTATGTTTTTGTGTTTACTAGTTAATATATAAAGATATGATATCTTACTTTTACGCAAAACATAGCAAATGTAAGTGTTTTAAAACACAGTTTCAAAAACTCAAGAAACTAGTTTTAAAATAAAGTAGATGTCTTGTTGTTATGTATACATTGTAAATGTTATGACATAAACTGATATTTTATTTTCAATGTTGGACATTAATCAACATGAATGAAGTGGTTTGTCGCTCTAAAAAGTTTCCTAAAAGCCGGAGGAGAAGAAGAGAAGAAAGCTGTGATAGCTCAACTGGAAGAAGGGAATGCGTTTCTGGAGAAGGCGTTCATCGATTGCAGCAAAGGAAAACCGTTCTTCAACGGTGACAACATCGGTTACCTCGACATAGCTCTCGGGTGCTTCTTGGCTTGGTTGAGAGTCACCGAGTTAGCAGTCAGCCATAAGATTCTTGATGAGGCCAAGACACCTTCTTTGTCAAAATGGGCTGAGAATTTCTGTAATGATCCCGCTGTCAAACCTGTCATGCCAGAGACTGCCAAGCTTGCTGAATTCGCAAAGAAGATCTTTCCTAAGCCGCAGGCCTAATTAAGTTGCTGTTGAACTAGGTTTTGTATTTGTGGGTCGAGATCTTGCAAGAATAAACTAAGAGATGGTACTGTTTTATATAGATGCATGGCTTTATCTTTGTGTGTGAGTTTTAATCAAGGGTATGTTGAATGATTTAATTTTAGGTTATGTGGATTGAGAAGTAAGAAATTTATAATTATTGCATATAATCCATAACTCACTATTTCCTAGAAGAATCAACAAACACGTGAAATGGTCCCAATGCCAGGATTTAATCGTTTCATTGTTGCCACGCCATATATTGGCCACACTTCAATTTTTCACCACTCATTTACCAGTCTGTAACACGAGTCGAAACTTAATTCGTATATCTTCATTATCCGTTACCTAAACTCTCTAATTGAAACCTATACCTACCCTCTTAGCTTTCACACGATCTTAACCCGTAAGCTTTTCTCTCTCTCCCTCTCTCTCTGAGTCCTTGACGGTTCTTATTTCTTAATCTCCGGGATAAAATGGCGACTGAAGACGTGAAGCTGATCGGCTCATGGGCGAGTGTTTTCGTCATGAGGGCGAAGATTGCTCTCCACCTCAAATCTATTAGCTACGAATTCCTCCAGGAGACGTTTGGTTCAAAGAGCGAATTGCTCCTCAAATCAAACCCGGTTCACAAGAAGATGCCGGTTCTGATTCACGCTGACAAACCGGTTTGTGAGTCCAACATCATCGTTCAGTACATCGACGAGGCTTGGAACTCATCTGGACCGTCCATTCTCCCGTCACATCCCTACGACCGGGCCATCGCACGGTTTTGGGCTGCCTACATAGACGATCAGGTTCATAGTTTGTTCTTCACTTTGCTGTTTTAACTTGGATTTGCATGTAACAAAGTATAGATTATGTGGGTTTTGGTTAATTTAATACATCCCTAAAATTTAGCGGTTCTTTTCTGCTTCTTGTTGGTTTAATCTGGTTAAGAATCTAGAATAACACTATATGACCGATTTAAACCGGATAGGGTTGGACTACTCCAGCTTCAACTAACTTTCATAACCCATAGTTAGGAGGTAATTAGTCAACTTTATGTTGAAAGAAATTAGACATTTTGTTTATGTTTCTTACTATACCTATTACATAAGCTTAATCTTAATTAAATCTTACAATATGTTCTGACTTAATTCGATATGAATGGAAGTGGTTTATCTCTCTGAGAAGCATCCTAACAGCTCAAGGAGAAGAAGAGAAGAAAGCATCCATAGCTCAAGTCGAAGAAAGGACCGAGCTTCTGGAGAAAGCATTCAACGATTGCAGCAAAGGAAAACCGTTCTTCAACGGTGACCACATCGGTTACCTTGACATTGCCCTCGGAAGTTTCTTGGGTTGGTGGAGAGTTGTCGAGTTGGATGCCAATCATAAATTTCTTGATGAGACCAAGACTCCTTCTCTAGCAAAATGGGCAGAGCGGTTTTGTGATGACCCCGCTGTGAAACCTATAATGCCCGAGATTACAAAGCTCGCTGAATTCGCAAGGAAGCTCTTTCCTAAGCCGCAAGCATAAACTGGTTTACTAGGATGTAAGTTATGTTTTACTCAAATGGAATAAGACCTAGATTAAGCACAGCCAGAATTATTTATGTCTTTTGCATATTCATTCATAATCTTTGAGTTGTGACAATGTTGTGATCCACATATATTACCTCAGATCAAATTTTACATGTGTACCGAAAACATATAAACATGGATTATCAAAACCATGCTTTTTGTGATTTGCCATAACATTTCTTTTTGTGAATTACCAAAACCACTTAGTCGATGTTCCGACCAAACTTTCACTTGGTATCCAGTCTGTGCAATTCCAAGATTGATATACACAATCAATAATTTAATTATCTAGATTAATAGTAAGTGGTTTGGTCGGTTTAATTATTGTATCTCTTTTTTTTTTTTTTGTTTTTGTTTTGTCGGCTAAATAAAGTAATAATTCTTTCTTGTTTTAACTTTAAGTACGAAACTAAAAATGTTTGTTTCTGTTTCATTAATTAAAAAAATGAGATACAAGAGAATTTTTGTCTAATAAAAAAGGGAATATGAAAATGATAGTGATCAATTATTTACCATTCACCACCATAAGATGAAGTTAAAGATAAAGTACGAATAAATGCCACGTGGCTCCATTAAGAATAATTTTTCTCATTCTCCTTTGTCATGTTCTTCTTCTACCTTACATTACACGCACTCCACTCTTGGTTTCCTTTTTTTTTTTTTCTATTCCAATTTCAGATTTTACTCGAAAAAAATCTCGAATCCGATTCCTTCTTCTCTTCCGCAATCTCTGTGAAATCTCAAACTACAAAATTTCGATTTCAGCTGAGATTCTCTCTATTTTGTGGTTTTGACTTTTTTTTTTTTTATTTTGGTTTGGTGAAAGATTTGGATCAATGGGGGTGGATTACTACAATGTGCTGAAAGTGAATCGAAACGCTAACGAAGATGATCTGAAGAAGTCTTACCGGAGAATGGCTATGAAATGGCACCCTGACAAAAACCCTACGACCAAGAAAGAAGCTGAAGCTAAGTTCAAGCAGATCTCTGAGGCTTATGACGTCTTGAGCGATCCTCAGAGGCGTCAGATCTACGATCAGTACGGAGAAGAAGGTCTTAAATCCACCGATTTACCTACTGCGGCGGAGACGGCGGCGCATCAGCAGCAGCGGAGCTACTCTTCTAGCAACTCTGAGTTTCGGTATTATCCGCGTGATGCTGAAGATATCTTTGCTGAGTTTTTCGGCGAATCCGGAGATACTTTTGGCGGAGGGAGTAGCGGAAGGACACGTGGAGATGGCGCTGACGGTGGCGGCCGGAGATTTAAAAGTGCAGAAGCAGGGAGCCAGGCTAATAGAAAGACTCCGCCGCCGGCGAATAGGAAGGCGCCGGCTATTGAGAGTAAATTGGCTTGCACACTGGAGGAGCTCTACAAAGGTGCCAAGAAGAAGATGCGCATTTCTCGCGTTGTTCCCGATGATTTTGGGTAAGTTTCTCATAATCCTGATCTTGTGAATGCCATTGATCGATCTCGTTAGTCGTTGATTTTGGTGAATGATTGATTTTTGCCATTTTCTCATGTGATCCAGTTGATGATGTTTTCTTATATTGTTGGATGATCTTCACTATAAGATTTTGTAGTGACTAGGTTCTACAACTGTTGTTTTCTCTGTGATTGAGCTTCTAGTGAGCTTTGATTTTGTCCTTCTGATTGATGATATCTTGATTACAGAAAGCCAAAGACTGTCCAAGAGATTTTGAAGATAGACATAAAACCAGGTTGGAAGAAAGGCACAAAGATAACTTTCCCGGAGAAAGGCAACCAAGAACCTGGTGTCACTCCCGCGGATCTCATATTCGTGGTAGACGAGAAACCGCATTCGGTATTCAAAAGAGACGGTAACGATCTGATTCTCGAGAAGAAAGTCTCTCTTATAGATGCTTTAACGGGCCTCACCATTAGCGTAACCACTCTAGACGGGAGGAACCTAACGATCCCGGTTCTGGATATCGTAAAACCGGGTCAGGAGATTGTGATCCCAAATGAAGGAATGCCTACTAAAGACCCTTTGAAGAGAGGAGACCTCAGAGTCAACTTTGAGATCTTGTTCCCGTCAAGACTAACGTCAGAACAGAAGAATGACCTCAAGAGAGTTCTTGGTGGAAGCTGATGAGTTTACATTTAGTTTTCAAGTAAGCTATTGATCTTCTTTAACAACGGATTCCACAGGAAGCTGATCAATTCAGTGTACATACATGTACGTTTTTCCTTTGTAAACTTCTTGTGTTATAAGAAAGACTAAAAACCCGAATCGAATAAGACTGGATATCGGAGATCTAATAATGGCTGCCACAGACAGAACAGATCGTTTTGAAGTAGAACTTGGCCTATTTGACTCTGTATGAGTAGTGGAAGAGGAACAGAGAGATAGTAATTGGTATGAAAAGCAAAGCTAGAAGCTAGAAGTTTTCTTGGTGTGATTTGGTTTTGTGGGGATGCTCCTATGTTAATTTTTTTTTTTTTTTTTTGATGAAATGTGAAATTGATTAAGAAATACAAACTATATACAAATGAGTTTGATCAAAGACTATTTGCCTAAGAATCGACCAAAAGTAGAGCAAAAACAGAGCACTTACAACAGTCCAAAACAGAGCCAAAACGATCAAGAACAGGGCATGACACTTAAAGGCTTATCCTTGTTCTGAACCAAGCTTGCTCCTATGTTAATTAATATGTATTCTGGTTTCAGAAGGCTCTGTGTATACCGTGAAGTATGTCTATGTGTTGGGTTAAGTCTTTTCTAGAAACTGTGTAGCCTTGTAAAGGAGAGACATTGAAATTCCTGTTTTGTTCTTCAAATTAGTAAGTGAAATGTCTCGTTTGCTTTCTCATATTTGTTCAGCTCATGAGAATATTGCGAACGGAGAAGCAAGAGATATAACAGAAGTGAATTAGACCGAAATTTACTGACAACATTAACGCCCTTACATGCTGTGAGCCAATCACCTAGTTTTATTGTTACCGTAACATTTGTTCACAGATGGGCTCTGACTCAGTCGTGACAGGAAAAGATGATGAAAAGGTGCCATTGAGCCAGTTGACTCTTGAGTTTGTGATATATATATATATCCATTGCCTTGGAATTGTCCAGAGTTTTTAGTTTTAGTCCTAGTCCTGTCATGTCTTTACGAGTACGTCACCTCTTATCTTAAAGTGTATGAAGACGAGTTCACATTTTTTTGCTAATGAAATGTAATTATTTTCTTGTGGAAAAACTAAAGAATTGCGCGTGAAAGAAAGAGAGAGGAACCTGCGTTTTAGTTTGTAAGCGTATGAATGGTGTTTTAAGTCTTCTGGTTACGAAGTCAACAAATATAAAATTTTCAAGATTACGTACAATGAGTGATAGATATAATACAAATTGGAAAAGAATAAGAAAATATCATAATCCAAAATGTCAAGATGCTGAGAACTCTTATACATGATCTATTTGAGTCATCATAAAAAGATATAACCACTTGGGATCTCCCTCCCAGAGTAAGAACAATTTCATACTTTTGCTCTAGATATCTTGAGAAAAGATGCAGCCGATCTTCCATGCGATCCTTAAAAATGACCTTCCAGCTTTTTTGGAGTTGGTAGAGGAGAGTGAGTCGTCGTTGGAGGAGAGAAACGAGGAAGAACGCTTGAACAACACGGTTTTGCACATGGCTGCAAAGCTTGGTCACCGAGAACTCGTCTCCAAGATTATTGAGCTCCGTCCTTCCCTCGTCTGTTCCCGCAACGCATATGGAAACACACCTTTGCACCTTGCTGCTGTCCTGGGAGACGTAAACATCGTTGTGCAGATGTTAGAGACTGGATTGGAAGTGTGTTCTGCACGCAATATCAACAACCACACACCACTCAACTTGGCTTGCCGTAGCGATTCTATAGAGGCTGCCAGACTCATCGCGGAAAAGACACAATCAATCGGCCTCGGTGAACTCAATCTCGCCATATCAAGAGGATCCACTAGTAAGTTTCTTCTAGTGTGCGCTCAACTTATTTCGTAATCTTGTGTAAAAATCACTAGCTCACTACTACTGTGTTCGGATCCTTGGTCAGGTATCGCAGGGATTATACTGGAGAGATTTCCAGACCTAGCTAGAGAAGAAGCTTGGGTGGTTGAAGACGGCTCACAATCAACGCTACTGCATCATGCGTGTGATAAAAGCGACTTTGAACTGACAAGTATATTGTTAGGGCTCGATCAAGGATTAGAAGAAGCACTTAACACCAAAGGTTTATCACCTCTGCATCTTGCGGTCGTCAGAGGCTCGGTTGTAATCCTGGAGGAGTTCTTGGACAAGGTTCCATTGTCTTTCAGCTCAATCACGCCGTCGAAAGAGACAGTCTTTCATCTCGCTGCTCGAAACAAAAATATGGATGCCTTTGTTTTTATGGCAGAGAGTTTGGGAATTAACAGCCAAATTCTTCTACAGCAAACAGATGAAAGTGGCAACACTGTCTTACATATTGCTGCATCCGTCGCTTGTGATGCTCCTGTGAGTAGTTTTCTTTGTCGCCCTCTCCTTTAAATTTTTAGTTACAAAATTTGACTTCCCATATACTCTATGTTAGGATTACATTACTATAAGATGGTACATAATCTATTTTTAGTGGTGTTTCTTCTCACATATTTACTTAACAAATTGCAGCTTATACGTTACATTGTTGGTAAGAATATAGTAGATATCATGTACAAGAACAAGATGGGTTTCGAAGCTTTTCAACTTCTCCCTCGAGAGGCCCAAGACTTTGAGTTGTTATTAAGGTGGCTGAGATTTGGCACCGAGACTTTACAAGAGCTGGATTCTGAGAACAATGTAGAACACGAAAGCTCTCAAGAGATCGAGGTAATACGGTTGCTTAGACTTATAGGAATAAACACATCAGAGATAGCAGAGAGAAAGAGAAACAGGAAGTGGAAAGAGGTCGTCAGAGCTTGGAATATGAGATGCATATAGAAGCATTACAGAATGCAAGAAATACGATTGCGATAGTGGCAGTCTTGATTGCTTCAGTTGCTTATGCCGGTGGGATAAACCCTCCGGGGGGCGTCTACCAAGACGGGCCATGGAGAGGGAAATCCTTAGTGGGAAAAACGACGGCGTTTAAGGTCTTTGCGATATGCAACAACATCGCACTGTTCACGTCCTTGTGCATCGTTATTCTTCTTGTTAGCATCATACCTTACAAGAGGAAACCCTTGAAGAAATTACTGGTTGCCACGCACAGAATGATGTGGGTTTCTGTAGGGTTCATGGCAACAGCTTATATTGCGGCGTCTTGGGTGACCATACCGCATTACGATGGAACCCGATGGTTATTTCCAGCAATTATCGCCGTTGCTGGTGGAGCGTTGACGGTACTCTTTTCCTATCTCGGAGTTGAGACAATCGGTCATTGGTTTAAGAAGATGAATCGTGTAGGAGATATACCTTCCTTCGCAAAGACCAGTTCAGATTTAGCTGCCTCCGGAATATCAGGCTATTTCACCTATTAAGAAAAACTGTTTTCCTAATTTTCCTGTAAAATAGTCCCACCTGTGCATAGTAGTGAAGTATGTCTATGTGTTGGATTAAGTTTTTCTTAGGAACTGTGTAACCTTGTAAGGAGAGACATTGAGATTCCTGTTTTGTGCTTCAAATCAGTGAGTGAAATGTCTCGTTTGCTTTCTCCTATTGTTCAACTCATGAGATTACTGCAAACCCCTAACATGAACCTAGAGAAGCAAGATACTCACAGAAGTAAATTAGATCAATGTTACTGACATAACATGAACAGAACAGAGATTACACTACACAGTAACTCTTGCCTGAAACAATCTATTCTTACTTCTCAAGCCTTAAGATAACACACTATAAGCAGGGATTTTCCGAATTCCAGCTTCTATCATGGCTTTCCTCATTTGTTCTGCTTCTGACCAATTGCTATCCAAAGCATTTAACATCGACAATGCGACATACTGGCCACAGTGTTGAGGTTGCAGTACAATAAGCTGTTTACCTACTTTATTTCCTAATTCAGCATTCTCATGAATCTTGCAAGCGCCCAAAAGAGCTCCGAAAACAGAAGCATCAGGCTCGAATGGCAAATTTTTAATGAAATTGGCAGCGTCAACCAATAGTCCAGCTCTGCCTATGAGATCAACAATGCAACCGTAATGCTCTGATGTTGGAATGATCTTGAACTCACTACATATGGAAGAGAACAACTGGATACCTAAGTCCACAAGTTTATATCGAGCACAAGCCGTGAGTATTGCAAGTAAAGTGATCCCATTCGGATGCACATTGCTTGATTTCATCATCTCAAACATCTCCAGCGTTTGCTTAGGTCTACCATTGGAGGCAAGAGCTGGTATTATCGCATTCCAAGCGCAAACTTTCTTATCACGAATTTGATGGAAAATGGTCAATGCCATCTCCAAGTCACCAGCTTTTCCATACATATCAAGCAAAGCAGTACCCAAAATAGGAGTAAGGATGATCTCTTTCGTCAAAATATATCCATGAATCTGCTTCCCCAATCGAATACCTCCTTGATCAAAATTAGCACATGAAGAAAGTACACAAACGAAAGTAGCCTCATTCGGTGTTATTACCGCACGCTGATTCTGTATCATCTCACCAAAAACCATTAAAGCTTTGGCGTGTAACCCATTCTTACTAAACCCGTTGATAACAGTAGTCCAAGAAACCACATCAGTTACAGGCATTTTCTGAAATAACTCGAAAGCAGAATTCATCTCTCCGTTTCGTCCACAAGCGTCAAGCAAACTGTTACAAGCTACAACACAAGGGTCTAATATATCATCAAACATCTTCCTCGAGCTCTTCAAATCACCAACTTCACCATAGAACCGAACAAAAGAAGTCTGAACAAATGGGTCCCATAGGACACCTCTTCGAAAAGCTTGGCCATGTAAGGCAACACCTGACGAAACAGAGAAAGATGAGCAAGCTGCTTTAATCAGTGAAGGGAAAGTGAGGTTATTTGGTTGGACTTGGCTTGCAAGCATATGAGTGAAGAGAGCAAGAGAGGCCTTGTATTGTCCTGTAGTGAGATAAGATCGAATGAGAGTGTTGTAGACGCATTTCGTCTTCCATCTCGAAGCAACCAATGCTTTGCTGGTAAAGAGGACAGCGTGAATCTGCTTAATCTGGTTTGAGGAGTATAAGAAACGTTGGAGAAGATGAAGTGCGTCTTCAAGAGAAAAATTGAAACTCGAGAAGGAAGTACAACGCATGCACTTTTCACAAAGATTATGCAATCGACAAAGCAAAACAAAAAAGTCGCTGACTTTAAGTTTGCAAATTCAAAAAGATAC